GAATATTCTCAATCTAGATAAAATTTATTGCCAAAGGTACCTAAGAATAGTAAGGATAAAAATGAACAAAACTATGCTCACTTTTAACTAAAACTAAATAGGTCTTAACCTAAAACAAGAATAGTCCAAACCTAAGTCTAAGCAAATATATAGACTTTTTTTAAGGCTTAAATTTGAGCTTTTAAAAAACCTGACATAGCTAGGAGTCTTTTCAAAGACTTACTTAAAATATAAACATTTTGAATCAACAAAAATATAGGTATTTTAATAGGTTTAAAAACATATGCCTCTAAAATTATATAACCTTCAGGCATATTTAAAAGTTTGGTGATAATGGTTGTCCCATCAAATAATAATAAGAAAAATTATGCTATGTTATAAAATCAACCAAATAATGTGGCATGTAATACTGAAATTGATCTCTTACTTTTCCTACATAAATCAGGGCAAATCATCCTGCTGAAATTATAATATTTTATTTGGATGTTATTAAAATAAACACATAATAATGATTATGCTTTAGTGAATGACGCAAATCAAGAGAGATGGAGTGGACTATTGTTGCCATCTTGAGCAATCAAAGAAAAGAGAGGGAGAGATAAACAATTAATGAATAAAAGGGTTGAACTTGTGTGTGAATAATATAACGTAAAACTTAGGGTTAAAACTAAATTAGTACTACCTCCGGTCCTTATTATAAGACCCCATTTGACTTTTTATTTGATTCTAATTATAAGACCCCAATCCATTTTGTCTCTCATATTTATGCATTTTTTTCCAAGATAATCCTTCTAATAATGATAGTTCTAGCCAATATACTTAATTAGCAAGGATATTTTAAGAATGACAACACTTATTTATTACAAATAACTAACTTAACTTACTTCCTTAATCTCCTCAAATAAGTCAACTGGGTCTTATAATTAGGACCGGAGGTAGTAATTTACAAATAATTTAGAAAATTGATTGAGTTTAAAAAAATAAGTCAGGCCTATAAGCTTATAGGCTAGGTCTTATTTTATGGGGGAAAAAAAAAGTTTAGCCTATTTGTCTAAATAGTCTTAATAATAGGCCTGAGTTTGAGTTTGACCTAACTAAATAGGTTAGTTTAAACTCAAAATAAATGAGGTGATAAGTCTTTGTTAAGAGCTTAACCTACTTTCACACCCACCTAAAAATTACTCCTCTAATTCTATTTATAAAACAGAGAGAGAAGATATTTTTTTATCTTATTTATAAGGCACTAAGAGAAATATTTTCTATAGATGTACAATTTTACCCCTCATTTATTATTATGTTAACTTTGTTTACATGAGCTATAATGTATATTAAATAGGGATAAAGTTGAAGAGTTATTGAACTTTAAATTAGAGTTAATGAAATTTAAAGTTTTTCTTGTTCTGTGTGAAACATGCTAGAAGTAACTTATAAATAGGATCAGACGAGTAATCATTAAATTCACTCTTCAACTGTGTGCAATATAAGTTTAGTTTCATGCATAAATATTTTTTGATTTGCGTATAATCAAAGATAAATTAGTCACATCTGAAGTGAGCATGGGTTTCACCTAGATTCTTTAAAAATAATTTTAGGTACTTTGGGTAATATATTTTACGTTGAGAGATTTTTCAGCAATATTTGCTATTATTTATAACTTGTGAAGAATATTCATGCATTTTATTTTGAATAATTTATTATTTTTATTAAATATGTGTGTGTGACTCATACATTTATGTATTGATATTTTTATTTTTTCCAAAATTGGATTCATTTCCTGCCTCTCTCTCACACACATTCCCACATTCATATTACTTGACCAGGATCCTCACTGTAAACAATTTAAGTTCAGTCCATCATGGGGACATTGACTAGAAAAGAAAATAAGGGCCTTCTTCGTCGTTGTGGCCTACTTACTGGTAATTTATTATTCGTTGACCCATCTTTCATATTCTCAGATGTTAGCCTTACTTTCCTGCGCAAGTTGATTGGCAGATAGAACTCGGGAAAAAGAGAAGTACATAAAATAGTAGAAAACTTTGAAAGACTGAAACAACTATGTTTTTCATTATTGAAATGTGAAAAAGTCGAAAATGACACTCTTTTTTGTCCAATAAAAGAAGAAAAAGACCCTCTGAAATGTCAAATTGCTCCTGTTTTTTCAATCCTTTTTCCTTCGTTGTTCTCTTCCGTTTATCGTTTTGTGTTCATACTCCACCGATGTTAACATTGCTTGATGCCATTCTGGTGGTATTGTCAAGTGCAGGAAACCGGAGTTCTATGCATTGATGGACGGCTTCTCTGATATTAGGGAAGTCCAGACACACTTCAGATATTCGACAAAAGTACTCTGTAACCATTTTTAAGGAGTAATGTTAAATCTCTTTGCTCATTGTATTTATTCCCGCAAAAATCATATCCTATCTGGAAAAGATTAAGAAAAATGGAAACTCACCTCAATAATTCATTCAACACGATTGGTCAATTATGATTAGACAATAATTAATATGTTGTACTGTTAGGCACGTATTGAACATGATATGATTCTGTTTTAGTAAATACTCCCTCCGTTCCTTATTATAAGAGACATTTGATGTTTATGGCATGTTCCTATATATAAGAGACACTTACAAGTTGTCTCTACTTTTTTGTGTTGATTTACTATTTTATCCATATTTATTATCTCCAACTCACACTCTCTCTCCCTCCCACTTCTTTTTTTTTTGAATAATTTAATTGTTCTCTCTCATACTCTCTCTCCTTATTAATGATGGCATTTTTGGAAAAAAATTATACTTTTTACACATTAATTGTTCTTAACTAATTTTAACTGTTTTTTTGATCAACGTATTTTGGTTATTTGTCTCTTATAATAAGGAACGGAGGGAGTAATAATTATGGTAATGATTCATTGTGATCATACTATTATGGCAAGTTTTTCAACGATATTTCTAACTTATGTTCTTGTGTAATAAATGCGAATCTTATGGTTCCAATTCTTGGCAAAGTGGGACTTGGCACGGATATGTTGATGCGACACAGCATTGAGAGCCCTGCCTTGAAGAAGGTACTGCGATCCGTTCCTCTCTATTGTTCATGCCAATCAAATGGTTGTCTCTATTCTATGGAATGCAGAATGAAGAAAACGACTTATGAACTAATTGTATTTATTGATTATCAATGCTATATCCTGTATTTAAGATGAGAGTATTTATTGGCAACACGTCTGGTGTTAACGGGGGCAGATCAGATTTTGTAGAAGGAACATTTACGTACCCAAGGTTGTTAAACTCGGGAATTTAAATAAACTCGTGAGAATGATATAAACTCGGATTGCGAACTTATAAGAGTTTACTTTTATTAATAAATTGGTATTAAAAGTATATAATCAAATAATTAATATATAAAAAATGATAACAATTTAATTTAAATATATTTTAAACTTAAATAATTGAAATTATATCCATCAATGTTCATAATTTATCACATTCAACAAAGATATTTTTATAAAATTCATATATAAAGTTATTAAACATAATCAAATCCAAAATTTTAGCACAAGTTAAAGAGTGAGTGGACACGATTTTATAAGTTTAAAACGTAAAAACGGTAAATCCAGTAAATGAACTCGCAAGTTTAACCGAGTTTACAGTTATCACAAGTTTAGGAGTGAATCGACACGATTTTATTAGCTGAAAACGTAAAAACGTTAAACTCGGAGAGTCAACTCGCGAGTTTGACAACAGTGTACGTGTCTATATACTCCCTCGTCTCTTATTTTAAGATCCTTTTGTAGCAGATGCAATTTTTTTCCAAATATACCCCTATATATAAATAGGTAAATGTGAGAAAGTAATAGTGAAATAAATGAAGAAAGAGAATGTATTAAATATATTAAATTATGGGTAAAATAGGTAATAATATATTAAATGCTCAGACAAACTCAAAGAAAATCTTATAAAAAGGGACAAACTCATTCAAAAAATTGGATCTTATAATAAGGGATGGAGGAAGTATATATACACATATGTGTGTGTGTGTGTAACACCAATTTCATCAATATAACATTCTATATTCATTAATCCACAGGCTATCTTTAATCTTGCTTAGTTAGGTGGAATTATGCCCAGACCAAATTGTTGGCCGTTATAGCCAAACATAACCAGCATCTTCAAATTGGTAACTGTATGTTTGACCACTCAAAAAAAAAAAAAAGAACGATATACTTTATCAAGTGGCCAATGTTCTGTTCCGTTCCTTGTTCTTTTAACCTAAGCCCATACAAAAATATGCTGAAAATTACATAAATAAACGCATAAGAAGTCATTTATTACATACCAACTGGAGCTTTTGTAGGTCTATGCACCTGTTTTGGTTCAATACCAATCGAAACTTTATGCCCGTCTTTATTATTTTTTCCCCTGGTGGAACACTGATACTGCTGCACAATAATGAAGAGATATATTCTCCTATTACATTGGAATATTGTGCGAAGTAAAAACCAAAATATAGTTGCACCAATAGTGTAATACTCTCTGCACAATAATGCCTACCTAGTAGTGGAAGCTCAAGTTAGGAGCCAATCGATCACCTTTTTAACCACTATTTTGTTGATCATGCTTGATTCTTGGTGCTTTGTCTTTTCTATTTCATGTTTATACTAAGTGGGTGCTTTGGCTAAATTTATAAGTTTGAGCTGCTTCAATCAGGTTGGCTTGGGATTGATTTCTGTTGATAAACAAGACAATATTTGGGATTACATATTTTCCATATAAACCTTTCATTAATTAAGAGATAAAAAGTAGGAATGGGCAGTGAGATATGTAACATCACAAGAGATATTGGAATTATATGAGAGAGAAAGAAAAAGGAGGAGTAATGGGCATAAAACATAAGGATGTCTCAACCACAGACGAAACCAAGTGTCGAACATACCCCACCATTTCTACTTCAAATTGATCTTATCTCCTTCACTTGATTAACTTGTTGGGCAGCCAGTTTGCTCTATCCCCACCACATTTTTCAGGCTTCATACTTCTCTATCGTACGAAATCATCAGAGGACCACCAACATCTTTTATTGCTCTTCTTGCCATTCAACCTTTTTCCTCCTTCAATCAAAACCTGGTATTTCTGATACCTATTCTAAACCCCGCTCTCTCTCTCTGTGTGCTTCTGACATCCCTTCCGATATAGCTGCACATTTTGATTCAAAAATCTATCTAGAATGGAGACGAATTTCAGTTCTTATTATAATCTTCACTGGCTCTCTAGCTTGAAGAAAAGTGATAGGAAACACCATAATGGTCATTCAGAGAAGCCTGATCATGTTGAAGAAGATAATATGTCTCCATCTTTCCATCTACGGAATATTTCAAAACTCATCCTGCCACCACTTGGTGCTTCTAGTTACAACCAGAACCCAGTACAAACAAAAGGGTGGATCATATCTCCAATGGATTCAAGATACAGGTAGGACCTATCCATCTATTAGGAAGAATAAGTTTTAGTTTAGCAATTAGTTTTTTGTTATTTTACTTGGGTTGTTCTTGGACTTCGCTAGCCTAAAATTCTGCCAAAAATAAAATAAAATAAAATAAACTAAGTCCAAAGGTTGCTTCTTTAGTTTGGAAGACACCATCCAGATATGCATATTTAATTTCCAACAACTGTGGAGCTCCGTTATATTCAAAACTGACATAGCTTTTCTATTTTATAATATATATATATATTTATATATGATGAATCCAGATGAACAGCTTGGTACTCGATTGTAGTGCGCCCACAATCTTTAATTTTAATAGCCAGCCGACTTACAACAGTTTGAGACAAAAGTGAATTTGTTCATCTCCTGGAATTTATCCCTTTTTAAATTATTGATCCCTTTTAACACTGGAGATATCTGACCACGATGCTTGCAAGCATGATAAAAGGAAAGAATAAAGTATAATTAAAGTGAAAACAAATCAGATCAATCATCATATACGTACATATACGTGTATATCATATTCTTGATGGACTGTGTGTAGGTATTGGCAGAGTTTGATGGTGCTTCTGGTGGCTTATTCAGCATGGGTTTATCCCTTTGAAGTTGCTTTCCTGCACAGTTCTCCAAATAGGGAAATGTTCTTAGTGGACAATGTTGTTGATCTTTTCTTCGCTGTCGACATTGTTATCACATTCTTCGTAGCTTTCATTGATCGAAGAACTCAACTATTGGTCAGAGACTCAAAAAGATTGCTGCGAGGTATGTTAATCAAACAGTATTCCCTTAATAATATCCATGTCTCTATGAGTTAACAATTGTATTAGAAGCGATGGGTAGAGAGAGTTATATTTCAAAACATGTACTCCTTTAGTCCTGAATTTTTTTTTTTTTTTGCCAACAACCTTTAGTCCTGAATAGGATGGAGAGAATCCTTTTTTTTTTTTTGTGTGTGTGCTTAATATAAGTCAAATGAAAGGATAAATTTTACCCGAATTTATTATTTATTTTCTTGGAAAGTATATATATTAAATAAAATAAATTTAAAAATTTATTAAATTTTAAAATAGTGTTAATGAGGTTTAAGGTTTTTTTTTTTTTGGTTTTGATGAAAAATGTTAAAAGTAATTTATAAATAAGATTACATCATAATATAATATAGTTTAAACTTTTAGCAATGCTATGAGATAACTTGGATCCGTATTTGGTGCTCATTACCTGATGAGCAATTTGGACTGTCTAGATCTAATCTGGATGGTCCAGATTTAATGTTTTTAAATAATTATTTTAAAATAAAAAAAATTATATTTTTAAAAATAATAGTTAAGAGATTATTTTATTTTTTATCATATACCTATTAAAATAATTATTTTTAAAAAATAAAAATAAAATATGGACCGTCCTGATCGGATCTGGACGGTCTAGATCCGATAAGCATTGAGTGCTCATCAAAACTGATGAGCACCCAATTCGAATCCGAGATAGCTTAATCATTGTTTTCTAATATTATTATCTAATATCAGTTTTATTTCTCTGGTTTAATTGTTGTACCTAAAATGGGTGGGTAGAGAATGTGAGTAGGTTGCAAATAAATGAGACGATAAAAAGTTCAAGCACCCCCATCATTTTATGAGTAAATAATGATGACTTCATAACTCATTTTAGATTTCGTAGGATGTTAGGTTACAATAATTTTATGAGTAAATAATGATAATTTGTTATGAGGATCATTATTATTACTTGGTTTCTCTTTAAAATCAGAAACAATTTCCAAAATCAAAAACAAAAGGAAAAAAAAAAGCATTCAGCAATCTAGAAAGGTCTCCTTATGAAGGAATTACATTATGAGGTCAACAATTTCTCATAAAATAGAAATAAGTTGACTGGGATAAAAGATCTTCTTAAATAAAATATAAAATATTTTTAAATAAAATATCTGATAGATTTTGCATAGTGGCATGTGATAAGCATCTTCATCTAAAGTATATCAATTTTTTTGACATGAATGAAATTAGTACTAATAGTTAATTTTTTTGATTAGATTGATTCTCGTTTTCTTTTGTTGCAATTAAATTAAAAAATTATAGTACAACAACAAAAGTGTTTATGTGTAGAATTTATATTTGTTCTTTATTCTAATTTTTTTAATTTTGTGGATAAATTATATATTTATAAGCATATTTACGTTAACATCCAATATTATCTATTAATACAAATTTTAATATTGTCAATTTTAATTTCTTTTTTCTAAAAAAAAGAAAAGAACTCTCAGTTCTAATTTCTAATTTGAGATAAATGAGATGGCAACAAAAAATTGAGATAAATGATAAAAGACATTAAAAAGGTTATTCATGTTTTTTTTACGGAAATTGTTGGGGAATTGATATGTAAAGGGATGCCCTTTTGGGTACATTTTGGACCAACCCAAAGTAGTGTCCATACCCTAATGTCGGAAACTGGTTTTTTCAGAAAATTATTTTAAAGTCCCGTACAAAGAATATAAATACAAAAAAAAAAGTCCCAATAAATGCCCAAATAGCTCTCAAGTCTCAAATTCTCTTATTTGTAGATTTTTTTTTTTTGAGTATGAAAACATATTTACCTTCTTTTTTTTTTCCAGCAATGAAAACATATTTACATATAAAGGATTTGGCAATTGAGAGCTATTTTTGCATTTCGTTAGGCTTTTTAGTATTCAGAATTCTTGTGTGGGACTTTAAAATTATTTTTTGGACAGAGTGTGGGGAAACAAATAGGTAACGTGACGAAAGCAAATATGGGTCCAGCCCATTTCCAAATGATGGGCCTAAGAACAAAGTAGCATAGCTCCATATGGATTGTAAGGGAAAAATCAATTTTCTGGATCACAAAGTCCTAAAAACTATTTTAAAAACAAAAAGACAATGAATAAATATTAAAATCTTATCTAGTTTTATGTAATATAGTATAAATTTCAATTAACTAAGTAGTGTTAGATTAAGAGATTATCAATTTTGCCAACAACTTGAGTTGGCATATGCCTGCATAGTTTTTTGAGTTCAAATCCTGTTGATAGCTTTAGACTAGGAAGCACGTCCTCATGACTCATAATTAAAAAAGGCTTCAATGCATTTCTAATTTTTCAGGAGTTTTATTTTGATCTCCTAAAAGGAAGATAATAAATTCTTAATTAAAATAACTAAATTTTACACCTTGATCTCATAGTAAATTTTTTAAAACAAAATTTTTTTTTCTTGCATGCAGGTTTAAATGTAAAGTGTAATTGAATGATGGCTATATAACTAGATCTTCTCATAAATTTAATGTTAAGTCTTTCTGAGTCAATATATAATATCAATCTTAAGAGCTAAGAGCATAATTCCTTTCCAAAACTTGATTAAGAAAACTCTTCTTCTCAAGCCTTAATCTTTTTACACTTAAACTTGAATTTCAATTTTCAAGTCAACGTATTTTAAAATAAATTTAAGCTTCTTTTTTTTTTTTTTAATAAGGGTCAAATGAAACACACATTATGTCAACACAAAAACACACTCACACACCCAGCAGCTCAGGTTTAATCATGTGACCTCCTTCCCAAAGAGGGGGTTGGTGCCACTAAAACCAAGGACAATTTTGTTATCTTAAGAAAAATGAAAGGACAATTTTGTATGAATTTGAACTAAGAGGATCAAACTTAAATTGTTCATGACATCAGATAGATCAAAACTGTATTCAAGCTAAAAATGATTAAAAAAAAATCTGAGGAGGAAAAATTCAACATGAACTTCGGTGAAATCAACACGAGATTGATGTCATGAGTGACTTTGTTTGTTATGTTGGGTTAGGTACTTATCAACTTGGTTCGTGATGGATGTGGCATCAACTATTCCATATGAGGCAATAAGTCACGTAATCACAGGCAAACACAAGGTAGGTCTTGTTTGCTACCTTCTGGGCATGCTTAGATTTTGGCGACTCAGAAGAATGAAGCAATTTTTTACCAGGTTCCCCATCTTTCTTCGACCTTTGATATAAATATAAATGAGATTTTGTTATTACCAGACCTTTTGAACTGATCAAAGGATCCCTTTCTTTTGACAGGTTAGAGAAAAACATTAGATTCAGCTACTTCTGGATCAGATGTGCAAGGCTTCTCTTGGTATGTCATCTTTTCATTTCAATCCATTTCTGAAATTTTTAAACATGACTGCATTGTCAATGATGGACACAGGTGAACAGCTTTAAAATAATGTGACATGAGTATGGTTACATGAGTACCTAATTGGAATGGGTAAACTTAGCTTAAAAACTGGTTGTTGAGGTGGGAAAACTATACTATTTTAAATTTTAATTCTCCGTGATTGACCCAACCAATAGCTGCACTTCGCTCAGCCTTCAGCCTGTCAAAACCTTTCATGAGTAGGCCTCTCCAAAACCGTCAACCACCTAACTTTGATACTGATTGATAGGTTGAAAGAACAATCTACTTAAATAGAATGTGGGACTTAGTTTCTCATACTATTAAGTAATCATCACATTCTTTTATATCTTTTCAAACACACCAAGCGTATGTCTCTGTAGCTAAATCAGGTTCCTTCAAAGACCTCATCCATCAAGAGAAAAACACATAAAATGAGCTAATTTCCATTCTAATTAAAAACAGTTGATCAATTAATAGTGCTAGCAACATATCTTTGGTACTAGAGTTATGAATGACTTTTAAAATTAAATTTTCCAACACATTCAGACAGTTTAACATCCCTGTAATACACACGTACATCATATAGTTGGTTTACTTTTGATTGAAAATGTGAGAATATGAAGACAAAATTGTAAAATTTGTGTAGGTAACATTATTTTCGGTTCATTGTGCTGGGTGCCTCTACTATCTCCTAGCTGATCGGTATCCTCGCCAAGGAAAGACATGGATTGGGGCAGTGATCCCAAATTTCAGAGAGACAAGCCTTTGGATCAGATACATTTCAGCCATGTACTGGTCCATCACCACCATGACCACTGTTGGTTATGGTGACCTCCATGCTGTCAACACTGTTGAAATGATATTCATTATTTTTTACATGCTCTTCAATCTTGGCCTCACTGCTTACTTGATTGGTAATATGACAAATCTTGTTGTTGAAGGAACTCGCCGTACTATGGAGTTTGTAAGTATTCATACACATATTTTTTTAAGAAAAATACGTAAGCGTGACGCATATTGGGTATAAAAAGCTCGATATTTCTTGTGGATGCAGAGAAATAGCATTGAAGCTGCATCAAGTTTTGTGGGGCGAAATCGATTGCCTGCTAGGTTGAAAGAGCAGATTCTGGCCTACATGTGTTTGAGATTTAAGGCAGAGAGCTTAAATCAATATCAGCTTATTGAACAACTACCAAAGTCCATTTGCACAAGCATCTGCCAGCATTTGTTTTTGCCAACGGTGGAGAAAGTCTATCTGTTCAAGGATGTCTCTAGGGAAATTCTCTTGTCTATGGTATGAACTGCACTTAGTCTTAATGGGTTAGATCAATTGGTGGGAGGGCGTGAAATCTCTTCATATTAACATTGTTTGATTCCTTTTGGGCTATTCCATTGAGGGGGGGGGGGGATTTAGATACACCCTCCGGTCCCTAATATATAAGCTCCTTAAAGAGTTATGTTTAATCCTAAATATAAAACCTCAATCCCCTTTATTTTCATATTTATCATTTTTTTTCCAAAATTAATTTACCTAACGCATAAATTGATATATAATATAATGTTACACAATGGTATATGAGGAAGATCATGTTACATTTGCTACAAAAAACAAACTTATCTAACTTTCTTAATTATCTAATTATTTAAGTAGCCCTTGTATTAAAAACCAAAAGTAGTATGTTAGAAGTATATTCAGTCATAATTTTTTTCTTAGTCGTGAAATAGTGTTGACCAAGTACGAAATCAAATTACTTTACTGTATGTGAATAACAGTGCATATCATTAGTATTACTCAAGTTTGAAAGTGAGCTCACTTTAAAGATCTAAAGACTGTCTCGGAAAGTGATTTAGCTTCAATCTACAATTTGGTCGTAACAATTCTTTGGATACAAATCAATGATTTCACAAGCAGACTAATGGGTCAATTAATGTGCAGGTTGCGAAAATGAAGGCAGAGTATCTACCACCTAGAGAGGATGTTATTATGCAAAATGAAGCACCAGATGATGTTTACATCATAGTGTCAGGAGAAGTAGAGATCATTGATTGTGTAATGGAGAAAGAGAGAACTTTAGGGACTTTGCTAACAGGGGACATGTTTGGAGAAGTTGGTGCACTTTGTTGCAAACCTCAATACTTTACCTATAGAACCAAAACTCTCACACAGGTTTTGAGGCTCAAAACCAATGCTCTAATTGAAGCAATGCAAATTAAAAAGGAAGACAATCTACAAATACTCAAAAATTTCCTTCAGGTAGAACTTTGACTTTGGCTTATATCGTAGCGATCATGCTTAGGGTTTTAATTCAAATGTCTCAATTGTTCATGTGATGCAAATGCAGCATTTCAAGCAACTAAAAGATATAAGTATTAGAGATTTAATGGTGGAGAGTGGAGAAGAAGAGGATCCAAACATGGCTGTGAACTTATTAACTGTGGCCAGCACAGGCAATGCAGCTTTTCTTGAAGAGCTTCTCAAGGCAGGTTTGGATCCTGACATTGGGGACTCAAAAGGGAAAACCCCCTTGGTAAGTTCATTTATGATATCCGTGCCTTCATTTCTTGCTTTTTATATGTATGGGGGGAGAGGGGGGGAGAGGGGGGTGAAAGGATACAAATCAAAGTTGAAAACTAGTCATCGCCTTGTTTGCTCCAATCATTTTGGGACATCGCAAATCCTTAGCCTAACTGCATGAACCTAGATAGTTACGGTTTGATTTATTCATTCACAATAACTGTGGTGATCATTACCATTTTGAAATTAGAAAGAAATTGAAAGAAAATACGTAACCAAATTAACAATTTTCTTTGACACAGCACATAGCTGCATCAAATGGGCATGAAGAGTGTGTAAAAGTCTTGCTTAGGCACGCATGCAACATACACATAAGAGGTATAGTATTCCAAATCCCCCTCTCAGTTCCCTCTGCAATTAGCTTTTGACACTATTTGGGAAGTAAAAAGTTTTGTTGCGTTAGCACTTGAAATCATATTTTTAAGATGATGTTTAAAATAACAAATATACCAAAAAAATTCATAATTCATGTGCTACATATCTTTTTAAGCAATATAACAATATTAATTTTATATACACTTTTTCTGAGCAAACCTTAACAAGTCTTGTTAGTTTCACATTTATTGGTTGATTCAATTTCTAATTATTGGCAGACTTCAATGGTAACACTGCCTTATGGGATGCCATAGCATCAAAACATCACTCCATATTCAGAATCCTCTACCAACTTGCTTGCCTCTCTGATCCACAAACAGGAGGTGATCTCCTGTGTACAGCAGCAGAAAGAAATGATCTAACAGTAATGAGTGAGCTTTTGAAACAAGGATTGAACATAGACTCGAAAGATCGCCATGGTATGACAGCAACCCAAGTAGCCATTGCAGAGAATCATGTGGAAATGGTTCAGCTGCTTGTCATGAATGGAGCAGATGTTTCTGACATAAGAACTCATAATGTTTCTGCTTCTGCTTTGAATGAAATGCTGCGAAAGCGTGAGACCGGGCATCGGATCACAGTACATGAGGCCACACCTAGTGAGCATGTAGTAAGGGGAGATGAAAGTGAGCAGGATGAGGAGGAGCAGAGTTGGGGAAGATCTAGCAAACCTAGCTTCCCAAGAGTGAGTATATATAGAGGCCACCCTGTAAACAGAAGAAACAAAAATTGCAAGGAAGCTGGGAGGCTCATAAGGTTTCCTGATTCACTTGAGGAGCTCAAGAGAATTGCAGGTAATTAACCTTCAAGTTTCTCACTTGCAGAAAATGTCTTTTTTTTTTTTATATTGCTTTCTAATAGTATTTGTTAGGAATTGGGAAAGATCTAGTAGAAGGGACTTAGTTCTCACGTGACAAACCAAGATTCAAACATCCCCCAAAAAAAAGAGAACATCTATGCATAAGCAGAAATAAGAAAGGAAAAAGATAAAGAAAGATAGAAAGAAATCCATTTGATCTACTATCTACTAATATGTAAATTCTATAGGAAGCCAAATTATATGAATTAGCTTCTAAATGGTGTCTTGTAAGTTGCGTGAGCTGGTTGGTTGTGTTTAATGATTAAAGTGATTAAGTGATTTAAATTTGGAGTCTTCGAAATTAAGTTTAAATTACTATATCAATATATAAGTCATGAACAGTGTTGTTCACTATAAATTGTTCAATCAAGAAATTAACTTGTGGATATTATCATCTTCAACAGGTGAGAAGTTTGGGTTTGAAGCAAAAGACGCAATGGTGACAAATGAAGAAGGAGCAGAAATAGACTCTGTTGAAGTGATTAGAGACAATGATAAACTTTTCATTGTTGGATAGCAAAAATTTAGAAAAATAAAAAATAATGTAAAATGTGAACTGCTAGGGGCTTCTCATCCTTCTCTTTCAAACATTAATGAGATATCTCTCATTTTGAAAAAAAGAATAACAATAATAATAATTGTAAATAGTCTCTTATAATAGTCTTATGGATTTTCTTTTTCTGTTTTGATCTTTTCTTGCCATCCACATGGATCTCTTGTTGTCTTTCATTTTGAAAAATGGGGAAATAAAAAAGTGTAAACAGTCTTCCATAATAGAATTATGGGTATTCTTTTTCTGTTTTGATCTTTTCTTGCCTTCCTCTTGGGGACATAAGAAGTTGGTTGGCTTTAAATGATTTTTCAGTAGGATTTGTTGTTCATAATTTTGTTTAAAATTTGATTTAGGGCAAAAAAATTAAAGAAAAGAAAAACTTACGGTCTGTCTGGTGAATTCTTTAACGTTTAAAGAGTTACAGTTGTTTTGGGGGGGGGGGGGGGAAAGGTTACAGTCAGGCAGTAGGTGCCATCAAAATATTGCTATTTAAAATATAAAAAAAAGTAAAAACAATGTTTGGCAAAAATATTTAAAGTCCGCTTTTAGAAGCAAAGTTGATTGACACTTTTGTTATAATGGGTGTCAACATTTGTGGTTGTGTAAAATAACCGTTATATATGCCAGAAACCTTTTTCTATTAATTCCGGTCAAAAAAAAAACCTTTTTCTATTAAAATAAATGGCAAAAAATAATTATACTAAAAGCACATGTACTATGGCATTTGCTGAGTGAAAGTGACTGAGAGTTGACAACTTGACATAATTATAACAATAATAAGCTTACAATAAAATTGAGAATTTTGTATAAAATTGTGAGTTCAAATTATTTATGGAAAAAAAAAAGGCAATAAGCATATGACTTATAACTATACCAAATATGTAATTAAAAAGGAATTTAATCCCCAAAAAACAAAAAGAAAGAAAGAAAATGGATAAACGTGTAAAAATTTAAAAGAAATCATATTGTTAATAACTCGTGAATAATAAAATTGTTTATATTTTTATATTATTGATTATTTATAGATACATAAACTACAAATTGGATAATAAGTCACTAAATTTCATTGTAATTTTTTCAATTTGAATTTTACTAGAGAAATGAATTATAATAGCGTGTTAGAAGATTAATCTAACACTATCAACAAGTTAATTAATTTATTAATATCTAATTTATATCAAATCATAAAGATTTGCTAGAATTCAATTAATTTATGGAGATGATGCTTAATATAAGACATCTTGCAGAAGGATTCTATAGTTCTATAACCCACTTTGCAAAGAGTCAATAGCATCAAATTGTTGTTTAAAACCAAAAACCTTATTGTATTGTAGAGAGAGATTATATATGAAAAAATTTAAAGATGATTGTTGGCAAAAACAATTAAAGATTACTAGGATAGATGGAAAAATCTCGTAAAAAGAAGTTTGAAATTACTAAATCTTAAATAAAAAATTCTAACAAAAATATGTTGTTATTTGAAAATCTAGTATTATCAAAGCCTATAAAAGTATTGTTACGATGTCATAAAATTTAATTTAAAATTTAGTAATTTTAAGTTTTCTCTTTTTAGGATCCTCCCAAGATAAATTGGCTTTAATTGGAGGGTATTCTTAAAATGTAGTCATAATTTTTACTATTTTAATGATATAAACCATTTTTAATTGCTTCTTTTAATCTTATGAAGTAATTAGAACTTAAAATTGTCTTATACTATCTTATTCATATTCATAAATCACTTTTAACACATTTCATCAAAATTTTAAAAAAAAATTTAAATCTTATTAGTTACACTTTAAAATTTAATGATTTTTCAATATTACTTCTATTTAATATAAATATTTTTTTAAAAAAATAATCTACATAATAACAAATGAAAAGTAAAATGGTGCATTTAGACTAAAAATTGAATGATATATAAGAAAAAATTCTAATAAAAATGTATTATTATTTGTCAATCTAGTGTTATCAAAACATATAAAAGTGCTAGTATGGTGTTACCAGATTTGATATGAAATTTAGTATTTTCTTTTTTTTACGAGTCTCCCAAGACAGATTGATTTTAATCGGAGGGTATTCTTAAAATGTAGTCATAATTTTTACATTTTAATGATATAAACCATTTTTAATTGCTTTTCTTAATCTTATGAAATAACTAGAATTTAGAATTGTCTTATACTCCTTTGGTCCTATTTATAGGACAGAGAGAGAAGACATTTTTTGGTCCTATTTATAGGGCACTGAGAGGAATTTTTTATATGAATGTACAATTTTACCCCTCATTTATTATTGAGTTGACTTTGTTTGTATCAAATATAATGTATATTAAATAGGGATAAAGTTGAAAAGTTATTAAATTTTAAATGATAGTTAATAAAGTTTAAAGTTTTTCTTAGTCACACATACTGGAACTGTCTTATAAATAGAACCAGAAGAGTACTATCTTATTCCTATTTAAAAATCATTTCTAACATGTTTCATCAAACATTAAAAAAAAAGCTTTAAATCTTATTAGTTACACTTTCAAATTTGGCGACTTTTCAATATTACTTCTATTTAATATAAACATTATTTTAAAAAAATAATATACATAATAATAAATAAAAAGTACAATGGCACATTTAGACTAAAAATGGAATGATACTCCTCTGGTTCTATTTATAAGGTACTCCCTCCGTTCCTTATTATAAGAGACAAATAACCGAATTACGTTGATAAAAAAAACAGTTAAAATTAGTTAAGAACAATCAATGTGTGAAAAATATAATTTTTTTTCCAAAAATACCCTTATTAATAAGGAGAGAGAGCATGAGAGAGAACAATTAAATTATTGAAAGAAAGAGAAGTGGGAGGGAGAGAGAGTGTGAGTTCGAGACAATAAATATGGGTAAAATAGTAAATCAACACAAAAAAGTAGAGACAACTTTTAAGTGTCTCTTATATATAGGAACATGCCATAAGAATCAAATGTCTCCTATAATAAGGAACGGAGGGAGTACTTTTAGTATATTTCACACAAATCAAGAAAAACTTTAAAATGCATTAACTCTCCATTAAAATATAATAATTTTTTAAATTACCCTTATTTAATATATGCACCTCTCAAAAAAGATAATTACATGCGTTATAATAAATGAAGGATAAAATAGTATATTCACACTGAAGATTTAATTAAGCGACTTATAAATATGATAAAAAAACTCTCTCTCTACCCTTTAAATAGAACTAGAGGAGTATATATTATAAGTAGGATAAAAAAAACCTCCTACCTTTACCTTTTATATATGTATGTATGTATGTATGTATGTATGTATGAGAGGAAAGTAACTTTTTTTTGCTGGAGGGAGGAAAGTAATTTTAGAGAGTGTTTAGATAAAAACCAAACTATAATTTTAAAAGTGTTTTTAGGGTATATGAAATAAATATATAAAAAAATCTGTCTCGTTTTATGAAAAAATATTTTTGAAAAATATTTTTTCATCTTACCAAACTTTTTCATCTTGCCAAACATTTTTTTAAACTAGGACGTTTTACTTTTGAGGTGAAAAGTGAAAACTGAAAAGAGTGCGCAAATACGGGGAGAGAGTGGGCAGGAAAATATTGACGAGGACCCCAAAATACATGAATAATTTAATTGATGTGATTTAGTGTTGAAGGTTGCATTTGGCCTTGAAATCAGCAGATGATTGAAGAAGGGTAATTAAAAGTGATGTCATTTCATGATAGCTTAGTTTGATTTTGGTTTTTGGTGCATTGTATTCTCATTTCAAATATTTTCAATGATTATGACTCTTAAAAGCTATAATCAATTTGGGGAATGTAACCAATACACTTTATCTCACAAAATGTGCCCATCAAGCCACTCGTGCTTTTATTTTATTTTAATATACCTGCGCATCAGGACAAATTAGTATTTAATATTCCTATTTATTCAATAAATACTAAGGAGAATAACAAAAAAAAAACTGAAAATTACTAAATCTTAAATTATGTTTGGTAACACTAAATTTGTAATTTACATATGATAGCAAATTTTTATTAACATTCTTTATTTAGCATCTGCAAATTTCTAACTTCTTTTTTTGTCATTTTTCCTAAATATTATTCCTCTGATCTTTAATATAAGATCTATTTAACTATTTTGATTAAATTAAAAAATTAGTTAAGTTAGGTAATAATCATAAATATAACATATGTTTTCCAAAATACCCTTAGTTAAAACTTCTTTAAAAAAATGACATTTGAAAAAATGTCATTTTATTAAAAAGATAAAAAGGTTGAATTGATGTTTGTGTGGAATTAATGAGTAATAAATACTCACTCACTTTATAAACTATATAGGTGTATTATTAATGAGTAATAAGTATTATTGTGGTATTTAATTATTTAATACAGGTAATTTAGGAAAGAATTGGTAAATATGATAAATAAGTCCTATATTTAGGACCAAAATCAACCTTCTAATTAGATTTTATATTAAGGATCGAAGGAGTATCTTGCAATCAAACTTTAAATGAAGATCATCTTAAAAAATTGTAATTAATACCCCATTTAGTAATTTATAATAAGGATCACTAATTCATTCTATAAAATGCCTTATAATAATAAGGATATCAAAAGTAACTAGGTTAAACAGATGAAACACAGTCGATGAGTGAAAAAAACATGTTGTTCATTAATATCTGGAAATTTTCCTTGCATGGTCTGAGGCAGTACTTGTGATATTTTGGCCATTTTATTTGGCATAAAAAAAAAAAAGAAGTTCAGATGTTATAGATGAAAAGAATTGCTTTAAAAAGGTTATTTGTAGGTAAACTTAACCAGGCTTGAATCACTAGAGGACTACCACGTCTGAATCTTTTCTGGGCAAGGAAAGTTATTTGTAGGTAAACCTAACCAGGCTTGAATCCTATTTTTTGTTACGTAGAATCATGGGAACACGTCGGACAACATACATATATATACACACATACACACACAGTAATTCCATAATTTATACATAACTCAAAATTAGTCTTCTTAGTCAAGATTTATTAATAATATAATTTCTTATAATTTTATAACTGCACTGACATTTCATGCAAATGAAGCTACTTTAGTTTAATGCACAGAATAGAATGTTGGGACCTAAAGCAGAAAGAATCTGTACAGTAATGTGTAAAAGCCTGCCACTACACATAACTTATCATTCTCATCTCTTTTAATAACAATATTTAAAAAAAAAAAATTAGGCTACGTACAACCTCCTTTAGCCTTTAAAAAACCATAAAGGTTGGTGTTTAAAAACATGGGGAAGAAAGAGAAAGAAATATCAGAGAGAACAAATCAAAATGGAAACATAAGAAGCAGAATCTTTGTTAAAGTAGTCAAACTTTTGCACCCAGGAAACACAATCCAACATATCCTATTTAAAAGAGCTTCATGAATGTTCATTTGCCTTCCTGCCATTTTTACCCAACTGAGTCAGTCCATCAAGGAATAATTAATTACCAAGAGAGGAAAAAATAAAGAAATAAAAAAAAGACATTTTAGTTTTCATTCTGCACATCTTTTTTCACCATGACTTGTCTCTCCAAGACACTTCTTTTTCTTTTCCTTTATTTTCTTCTCTCTTTGCCTCACTTTATTACCAGGATACCAGCCAGCCCATTTCACAATAAAAACAGCATATTCTCAATCATCCACTCCACCGTACAGGAAACACCCATGATTGCACCCAGTAGCATCTTGATTTCACCATGGAAAACCTCTGCTATTAAGCTACCAAATTCTTTGATTATTTAGCCTTCCAGTTTTATATATATACGCCATCAATCTTCTTCACTTTTCTTCCCTGTTAAACCCTCTTTTTTTCCAACTCTTATTGTCCTACTCTCCATAATACTGATGGGTTCTTCATATACCGCATCATCTGTCAATGGTTTCTACAACTTCCTTACACAAGGACTAGATGAGCTTCACCAATCCTTCGTGTCCCATAACTTCATGTCAGTTCAATTCCTTTCAGAGGTGCTCTCATCTATCCAATCTTTCCATTCACAGTTAACAATTTTGGTCCAAAAGCTTCGCTTACCAGTTGGAGGAAAATGGTTGGATGAGTACATGGATGAAAGCTCAAGGCTATGGGATGCTTGTCATGTCCTGAAATCCGCCATTTCTGGAATGGAAAATTGCTGTTCAGCTGCCTCCACTGTTGCTTCCTCACTGGATACCTATCATCATCTCACTCCAGAGATTTCACGTCAGGTTAGTGGAATACACTAATCCATCGCAAAAATCATACACCTCAAGAACACCATAAATGATTGGTTTTGAAAAATGATTCTGGTCTATTCTTTTTGTCCAAATCTTTTCTTTTTTATCTTTACTTGCATCAAGTCAAAGAAACTTAAGAAAATACATCACTTTCTTGAAGATATACTTACCAGTGGTTTCACCCTACTAGTGAGTTAGAAAGTTTAAAGGCACAATTCATACGGAGAAATAAATCATGGACCACGTATTCTTCTCAAGAACCAAACAGTCCAAACTATATATCTACTAAAGAAATTTTTCTTAACATGCACAAGGTCAGAGAAACTTAAGAAGGTTCCTCATTAGGTTAAAGATCCACTAATTAAACATGTTTTGCTGCACATTATGCAGAGTTTGAAGAATAAATTCACGGCTTGTAAATAGCGTAGTTTTAGATAAACTTTACATTATATATATATTGATGTTTCACACCGACTAATTAATTAATTTTAAAAGCACAATTCATAGAGTGAAGTAAATCATGGATCAGGTAATCTTTTCAAGAACAAAACTATATACTTATAGTTTAATGAGGGGATTTTCTCATGGGTATTTTCACAAACAGATTATCCGCGCAATAAATATATACCAGAGAGAAATTCTAGCACTGGAAGAGGAGAACAAGGGCTTGATGGAAACAAGAACTCAGCCACTGTCTCTGTGCCTGAACCAGAACATCCCAATGGAATCAAAATTAAACGCGTTCAGTGGGTTTCGAGGCGTTCTTCACGCAATGAGGAGCGTGAGTTCATTGCTTCTGCTGATTCTTCTTTCTGGGTTCGCTTACGGCTGGTCTGCCTCCTGCTTTCAACAACGCGACATGGAAGAACAAGCAGGTTTCGGAAGAGGGTTGACGGATTCCATGGCGAGATTGGAGCGAAAAGTGAGAGAAGAGATAGAACAGAGTGAAGCACAAAGCGGGATTTTGCTGTTCGAGTTTCAGCAAGCGAGGATAGCCATGGAGGAACTGAAGGAGGGGTTGGAGAGAAGAAGAGAGGGATACGAGGGAATTGAGATTGAAGAGAAAGCTGAGAAGTTGAAGAGTTGGATTGGGATGTTGAGATGTGGGGTTGAATCCATTGCAGGACAGATTGATGATTTGGTTGATGAAATAGTGCAAGGAAGGAAGAAGCTTTTGGACATGTCCAGTTATAGGTAGACGCTGAGACGAAGATGGCCATAATAATAAAAATTTATTACAAGTCCATGGAGTTTCACTTGCTTTTAATTAAATTTTGTAATTCTTTTATCATATTCCTATATTTCACTTGTTTTTTATTATTTTTTTTGTAATTTTTTTATTTCTATGAGATTTTTGTAGTTTCACTGGTTTTTAATCACAACCCTCTACTTTCAGGCCATTGATTTAAAGAAAAAATTACAGGAATCTAACTAAAAATTAGGTGAAATTATAAAGATTTTCAGATTATTTTTTTCATAATAAATAATTGATAATTATTTTTAAATTTATATCTCATCTATTTGTTCTAATTTTCTCCCTTTTCTGCTTTTGGCAAAAAAAAAGAAAAAGAAAGTTACCCTTTCGGTTTTAAATTTACAAAATACTCGTACACCTTTTACATTTCATTATTGTGTTCTTTTATATATATATACACACACATGCACACAAAAGGCGCAAACTTATTGTTAGCTCCTTACATTTAAAATGATCTGGAGCTCTGTTATAAATATACTACCTTCCGTTCTAAATATAAAATCTAATTTATTAAATAATTTATAATATAAATTAAATCTTATATTTAGAATTGAAAGTAGTATTATTTATTGCAATCTATTTATTACTTATCAGTGTTCATTGTTTTGTTTCATTAGTAAATGAAAATTTGAATATTATGCAATACAAGGCTAACTTTTCTTGTTAAGACAATTTAACATGTTATTAAGATTAGACTAAATATTGATAATAATTCAACTCCTATCATAAAATGCATTACTTTGTTCAGAGACTGAATTGAGGTTATAACAATTTAAGTAAAGTAAATTTAATTTCAGCATAGAATGTGTATTTGATTTTTTATATGAAAATTCAATAAATTAAAGAACAATTGTGAAATGAAAGAGAATGAGATTCTTGCTTTGAAGAAAAGATACATTACTTCTTAAGAAAGAAAATTTCTTTCCTATCCAAATCGAACTTTTATATTCCTTTAAATAATATATAAATATTCACAATTTCAAAAATAAGATAGTAGTATCTAATAAGAATAAAACCTATTCTTAAGAACAAAGTGCACTTCCACGTTTGATGTCAGTTAAAAATAAAACATAAGTTTCATAATCTTATTGTGAAAAAATATATATTAGGACAAAATCGAATTAAAAGTTTTAAACTTCAAAACTACCATAATTTATTATTGAACTTTAATTTCTTTTGAAGCTCAATACTCAACTCAATTTAGTCATGATCGGATTGACAAGGTCCCGTTTTTATTTTCACTTATTTTATATTTTTCTTAGTTTTAGGAAAATAAATATAGAAGTATTTAATTATTATAAGATACAACTTTTTTAACTAGAGAGCACAATATCGGTCAAGATTAAGACAAGTAAGAAATTTTTTTTGGAACCATAATTGGGTAATCTATCTTTAAATAGCTATTTGAGTAAATATATCTTTGAATTAATGCATGTTGGAACAAATATTGGACTAATGAATAAAAATATATCCTTTACCTTTGGGACTTTATTAAGTGATTTATACTAAGAGACATTTTTTTTATGTGCAATCTTAATTGCTTATTTTAAAAAAATGACAAACGCAACATTATAGTGTGCTTGAGGAGATAATAACACCTTTTATAAGGTCTTATGGTTGGATCATAATCATGGTGTGCGGGATGTCAATATTCTGAATCAATGTTTTAAAAGTCAAACTATATTGATGGCATATTTGGAATGACTTATAATTAACTTTTCAATTGTGATTTACAAAATGCAAGATAAATATATGAAAGAAATTTTATCTCACTTTACGTGAAATATGCTTATAAATAATTTCAAATATAACTTCAAATGGGCCTTGAATCAGAAAGATCAGCCGAAAGCCCGAAACCACTAGTCTAACCAATAATATAATAGTTAAATGCAAATTTATAAAAAAAATAATTATACGAACATATAAAAGAAATAAATCGACGATAAATTTAATTGTCATAATAACACTACAATATATGAAGTTTTCTGTTAAATGACACCATACAGCTACAAATAGTATGAAAATATATAGAGAAAATAGGAAATAAAAACCCTCCACCATATGAAATTGCGATTTGAGACCCTTAATTTAAAAAATAAAAAATAAAGACCCGATCCCATATTACAAATATGAAATCTTGATGAAATGTCTGAAATGCTTTTTAGCCAAGTTGTGATTTAGTCTACTAAAGTTGTCATTCGCTAAAATGAATGTATCATTTTCCATAGTCAATTTGTCATTTGGCATACCCTCAGCCAAGTTGTAATTTGGTCTACTGAAGTTTTCATTCATTAAAATGAACTTGTAATTTCCCATAGTCAACTTGTAACTTGATCGAGGGGCATTTTAGACATTTCACCAAGATTTGATATTTGTACTATGGGACCATGTCTTTATTTGCTATTTTCCAAATTGAGGGTCCCAAATCACAATTTCACATATTGGGAGTCTTTATTTGCCATTTTTCCAAATATATATAATTTTTTGAGAGGGTCAATATTTTTATTTTATAAAAAAAATAATTATATGAATATATAAAAGAAATAAATCCACAATAAATTTAACTGTCATAATAACACTACAATATATGAAGTTTTCTGTTAAATAACACCATACAGCTACAAATGGTATGAAATATATATATAATTTTTTTTTTGAGAGGGTCATTTTTTTCTATTTTGTTATAGGTTTTTAAATATTTTAAAGCATTTTTCTATAAAATAAAAAAACTGTCATGTTTCCTAAAAATTGTTTTGGTTCTTGGTCTAACGTTGAATTTCGATTTAATGGTGGCTCAACTCCGATTCAATCACAGAAATGATGTACTCCAAACACATACTTAAAACTCAGGTCAAAAAGGGGAAAAAAAAAAAACATACTTAAAACGTAGTTCAGGTGTTCAATTAATGTTCATACATATTTCATTTCTCCTGCTATGTTAGGTGTATGTGTGCATTTAAACTTCGGGTTATGGCATATTTTTATTTACCCTCTAAACTTTTAATTATTCAAAATAATTATAAGAATATTTGTTAAAAAAAGAATTTGATGCTCCTGACTTTTAATTATGTCCAGCAGTATAGGAACATTTTAGAAAATGATTTATATTAAGCTTGAATATGGTATATTAAACTAACACATAAATGACAAAAAAGAAAGTGAAGAATAACAAGGAGTAAAGATAAGAAATGCTTTCCTGCAATAAAGTCAAAGCATAATCCCCATAATATGGATTGCAAGATTCGCTTGTAAATAACACACTTGTCTTTTAGCCACTAAAGTTACAATCAGCGGCTCCATTAAAGACCATGTTTGGTTAGACAAAATATAATATAATCGCATTAAAATAATGGCATGGGAAAAAGAATTCTAATATTTAAAATATTACGATAAACTATCTAAACTTTTTTTTTATCTATGTAAATGAACTCATCAGTGATTAATTTGTTTTCTGTTTACAAAAAGAGTACAATATGGTAGGAAACTTATCTACCCGACTTCAAAGTTTATAAGGCTAGTTTATGTATAATTCAAAACTGATGGGACTAGATGTACTCAGACATATGGTTAACAACGTCTTGTACTTGGTTAGCAAAATAATAGAATACTACCTCCGGTCCTAATTATAAGAGTTAGTTGACCAATTTGAAGAGATTAAGAAAAGAAGTTGAGTTAGTTATTTGTCATAAATAAGTGTTGTGTTTCTTAAAATATCCTTACTAATCAAGTGTATTGGCAAGAACTACTATTATTAGAAAGACTTTCTTGAAAAAAAATACATAAATATTATAAACAAAGTGGATTAGGGTTTTATATTTAGGACCAAATTAAAAGGCAAACGAGGTCCTATATTAAAGATCAGAATTCGGAAGTAGTAATTTATAGCAAGGGAATTATTATAAGCACAAACTTAAAAGTTTTGTTAAGTCTTACTTGTTGCTTGAACTAATTTTTTCTTTAATTTAGAAATGTGAATGAAAATTTCAGTGACAAGCATCCATACTAGTAGTGTCAAGCTTAGTTAACAACATAATGTGTATTTGGTTTGATTTTGAATTTCCAAACCAAATACGCTGCTAGTTGTTATTGATTCAAGCCAAACACAATTTTCTTTTTCTTTTTTTTAACATTTTTTAATAAAAAACTGGATTCGATACTCAGATCAGAAGATACCACGAAAGATAAAACAACATGCTCGCCTTTATTACCGCCTTTAAAAGGCGGAAGGTGATAAGGATATCCATACGCAATGTTACTTCATGTTTTTAATATAAGAACTAATTTAATTTTTTATTTAGTTTTAAATATAAGACCTTAATCTACTTTATTTATCATATTTATCTATTTTTTAAAATAGTTCTTGTAGTAATTGGGCCTGTTTGGGTGGGATGTCACCCAAACAGCATCAATTTTGGAGAAATAATCCGAAACCATGGTTTCAGGAGAAGTGAATGACGTTTTGCTTCTGGCTCAAATTGGAGAGTATGATTGTGCCTGTCAGAGTAGATCTCAATAATAACATGACTTTAACATCCCTCAATTATTATTTTTTATAAACATATTTAATCTTATATTTTATAAATATGTATACACATATTAATTATTTATTAATTATATTATCTTATGTATTATTAATTATGTTGGTAAAAAATATATTATTAACAATTTTATTCCTTCAAATTAAAATATATCATAAAATCTATCTTTTATGTAATTATCATATTAACTTATGCCTTTTTTAGTAATTTGTATATATAAAAAGTGCTTTTAATAACAACTATCTAAACACTCTCACTTCTTAGAATCACTTTTTCATAAAATCTATTATTCACAAAATCTATTCTCCAGAGGCTATTCTCCAAACTATGGTTTAGTTTCATCCAAACACCCCCATTGTACACTTGTACATGTTTAATATTCAATCAAATAATAGTTTTAACTAATACATAATTAGTAAGAGTATTTTAGGAAAAACAACACCTAATTATTACAAATAACTAACTTAACAAACTTTCTTAATCTACTCAAATTAGTCAATTAGTTTTTATATTAAGCACCAGAGCTAATATTATTATATAGGCAAACTAATCATCATTAATATCTTAAAATGAAGGCTAGTTGGGAGAATCCCAGTGAGTGCCTCAAACAAAGACAACTGCTTGAAAAGCAGTGAGTAATGGATGATAATATCTCAAACAATCCTCAGGTTTGTGTTGCTTTCTGCCTTCAAAGGATCTAATGCCACAAATTAAACACCACATGTAATAACACAATTTGTTATAAGTTTTATATTACTCCTCTGGTCTTATTTATAGAGCAGAGAAAAAAGATTTTTTTTAGTCCTATTTATAGGGTATTGAAAGAAATTTTTTTGTATTAATGTACAATTTTACCCCTCATTTATTATTGTGTTAACTTTGTTTATATGAGGTATAATGCATATTAAATAGAGATAACGTGAAAAAGTCATTAAATTTTAAGTGAAAGTTAATAAAGTTTAAGATTTTCCTTGGTCTGTGTGAAACATACCGAAAGTGTCTTATAAATAAAACCAAAAGAGTATATATTGATGATATATTAATAATACTCCCTTCCTCTCATATTATAAGCAATATTGGAGATCATCACATAGATCAAAATGTTAGTTAAAATTAGTTAAAGACAATAAATGTGTAAAAATTAGAAATTCTTTCATTAAAATGTCCTTATTTATGGGGGAAGAGAGTATAAGAGAGAAAGTAAAAAAATTATTATAATAAAAAGAATTATAAAAGAGAGATAATGTGTGATGGAAAAATAATGATTTGAAAAATGAGATAAGAAATATATTAAGTATTAAAATAAGTAATTAATAATGACAAAATAGAGAATTCGTAACAAAAATTTAAGATAACTTGTAAATGTTGCTTATATTCAGAGATAAGAGGGAGATAGTAATTGTTGTTTATAATATAAGACGAAGGGAGCAATTTGCACAAAGAGTTGCGTCTAAAACGATGGTGATAGTGACATTTGGAAGCCACTGAACTTCCCTTTTGTGAATCATTGCTTTCATTGAAAACCTTATCCTCAATTAGACGCTGCCAATGTTATAAAAGTTTAAATTTATAGCATAGTCTCATAGCAAATTTCGCAGTTTGCAAATTAGAAGTAGCGTGACCTTTTTCTTAAACTCCTTGCAATACACAAGAAAATAGACCATTTCCACGGCATATGAACAACCTTTCTTTTTTTTTGGAAAATTGGGAAATAGCCCCGTTACAAATTTTATTCCCCATTTTTTTACTTTTTTTTTTTCATAGTAATTGAACTACTTTTTTGTTAGTTCTTGATCCATATTTCCTTAAATACTTTTTACGCAGTAATACCTAGACTGCTGAATTACTCCGAGACTTGAATCAATTCAGAATCTCAGTATCTTTACTAGAGAAAAGAAAGCGGACCAAACACTTTATAACAAGCCTTGGGATGACATTTATAAAGAATCGCAATGTGGAACCAACTCATTCTTTCAATTCTCAAAATCAATACGAAGGAACTGCTTGCATCATTGGTGATTCTCAGAGGAAGATCACTAGCTGCTCCCTCCAAACAAAATTCACAATTGCAGCTTGAAATGGTGTAACTCTGGCATCTGAATTAAATCACTCAAGAAAGCAAACAGGCTTAACTATGCAAAATCTCAGAATGGAGAGTCACGGAATTGAAATGGGAACATCCCTCTGCTAACACAGCACCTAACCTTGTGGCCAAAACAGCTTGTAGTTTGTCTATTTGCCCAAGTGTGGTTTGAGGAAATACACAAAAATGAATGCATAGAATGCATTTGGAAAAAGGCTGAAGAGAGAGTAGATGACAAACGTAAAGAAAGAATGAACTCAATCACATTGTCCTGTGTCAAAACACAGAAATGCATGATTATAAAGAATTCTATTTATGATGAATCTCCGACTGGAAATCATTGGTATATTGAACTCTTAAAAGTTTTAACATGGGAGGTTCCTTTTGAATCAAGAAATGATAATGTGACCAAAGAAAAAAAAATCAAAGTTAGGAGATATTTCAGACGGTGGGATCCCACCTCATAAGCCTTGTTTCCTTCATGGTTCCTTTTGATAAAAATAGGGAAAGAAAAAATTTGAGTCAATATTATTAGATTTTCCCAAAAAATATAATATTTATTTTATTTTATAATTATATACTAAAATTATTGATCACTTAAAAACAATATTAAGCACATCCTTGTGTTATCGAAGAGCCTGAAGGCAATCACAACAAGTCACAAGAAGTTGTGCAATAAAAATTTTTCCATCTCATGCTGAAGTTGCAATGAACACCCGACTCCCGACTCGTGCAATTTCTACATTTTCACAGCATTTCAGAAGGATATACCAGTTCCAATATATTTCTCGCATACCCCGGTTTTTTACCTCAGGCGCACATGGTCCCCCGTCATAGGATACCCCACACACACACACACACACACACACACACACCAAGGAAAAAAAAAACCGAATAAAAAAGTCAAATTGATCAGTTTGTACTACCCATCCACAAAAGGTTTTTGGAGTCAGACTCATTGCCTTTTCCTAAACAAGAATCCCAATTCGTTAAAATAAAAGATGTAAAATAATCTTTCTCCAAACCAAGACTAAGGATATGGATTGCTAGAAACCAATCCTAGAAACTGTGGGGTTCAAAAGTCAAACAAAAAATGGATCAAATAGGCAAATTGTTTAGTTTTTAATATAAGGAGTAATCTCCACTGCCCCAGAAAGGTGACACAGTAAAGTTTACCAAATTACTTCCCTCCTGGCGATTCAGTCCAGCCCACTTCACAACAAAGCCAACATGAATCTGAAAACGCACCTTCAAAAAGCGGAATTATTTTATTCCCAACTAGCATAAAACAATTAGAGCTTTATTCATAAGAAGATTAATTGACTTATGTAAATTGTGCAAAACAAAAAGAGGTCAACTGACCTATGAAAAAGAGAAGTCAAAACTATCACGTATTTCCACATTTCTCTGTGTATTTGACAACTTAAACAACGTAAAAAATGGTAAGCTGATAAAATTGACAATAAAATTATCCATTAAGATGACAAGGTTGAGAAGGTATGACAGGATAGATAACGTAGATTTCGGCATCAAACACCAGGGAGAAAATTCAAGGCATCTAACCTTGCAGTACCAACTTATTCTGGACTAGGAGCGGTTGGTCAAAAGCCCCTTTCCCAACATTTGAAATAGTCAATATGCTGCAAGTGCTATCAGCAGACAAGGTTCCTCCAAGGTGACAAGACGCTTGATTATTGGAAGAATCCTCAACAGTAGTACACAGTTCAGCGTACTGTCTGTCCCACATTGTTATGCATCATAACCTGCATAGACCTGAGAACAGCCTAAGATGCCAATGAGCTCTCCACCATATGCACAAAAAGCCCCTATGTTCCCATGTTCAAATGTCAAAACCTGGCATTGCAAATTGAGCTGCAAAGGCCTCAACCCGTGCTCGGAGCTCAACAATGTCCTTGTTGCTCTCAAGACCTTTCAAAACAACCTTCTGCAATTTCCCATAATCTCTTTGCGCTAAATTTGCAATTAGTGCTGCTCTATAAAGAAATTCAGTAATTGTTTCAAAGTCAGTCTCCAGACACCCCCTTGAAGTCATGGCAGGTGTACCTGAGTAAGATGCCATAAAGCTATAAGAATGTACAGTCAATACACCAAGCATAAAAGAAGGCTAAACAATTTTAATGTAATAAATCATCACACACCTATCCTTACACCTCCAGGAGTTATAGTTCCGTTATCACCAAAGATAGCAATTTTATTCAAAGTAATATGACACATCTCGCATATCTTCTCATAAAATTTACCTGCAAAGATAAATAAATGATACTCAGATCTTATCCCAGTTTATAAACAAACAAAATTTTCAAATTAACTATTTGTCACAATTAAATCATACAGAAAGAAGCAACCAACAAAATGGACAAAAAAAAAGCCCCCTATGAGAACAAGGCATTCCGCTGAATAGCTATAATAAGATTTACAGCTACAACAAAATGCCATATGCATGAGGATATTCTGAATGTATTGATACATGTATTGTTGTATTTATGAGATGCCTTCATGTAAGATGACGTAGAACATTTTGATGCATATTCAAGATAAAACGGACCTTGCACTTAAACATCAAGTCACTGCCCAACAGTGGCCCAGTCCCATTTGTGAAAGTCTTCAATAACAGATAAACAAAATCAAAGTCACAAACCTTGAATAGCTCCAGTATTAAATAAGCTCCTACCAAGCATTAAAGGCAAAAGGATGCTTTTCTGGATCAGCCTACTTCTTCCACGTTGGAATCTTGCCGATCAGAAGTTGTAACACAAGTACATGAGGGGCCAAAAAATTAAGTGCAGATAACTTGCATGCATAGACTTAATAAACATTTACGCAACTTGCAAAATATTCTAAAAAGATCTGTATGCGACACTCATATAATATACCTGTCAATCCTAAAGGCCTTAGATCCCAAAGTACTAGATGATTGTCTGTACCCCCTGTTACTAGGCGGCATTTTCTTCTTAATAAAGCAGATGCTAAAGCTTGGGCATTCTTCTTCACCTGCTGCATGTAGGCCTTGTACTCAGGAGAAGCCACTTGTTTTAAAGCTATGGCAAGAGCAGCAATATGGTTATTGTATGGCCCCCCTTGCAAGGATGGGAAAACAGCAAAGTTTATCTTTTCTTCAAGGTCATATTGTTCACTCTCATATCCCTGACTTAGAAGTATCCCTCTCTTCCTTGGTTTTGCACCCTTCCTATAAAAAATTATACCTCCCCTAGGACCACGAAGACTTTTGTGAGTTGTTGAAGTAACAATATCACAATAGTCAAAAGGATTCACGCATTCCTGAAAAGACAACAAAACCAAACTGGTAAGTGTCTCTTCAATTTTGAAAGTGCACAAACTACTAGTTAATAGTACAAGATAAAAATGGAATTAGACAAGCTGTATCCTTAAGTTTAGAATATAAATACCCAGGAAGTTTGCTTTAAATAGAAATATACCTCAAATCAGTTTAAATGTTGAACACTAAAATCTATATCAAGCAGCAAGTACTCAAAACCTTTGGATTCAATAACATTATGTCAATAGATTATAGAAATCTGATACTCCAGAATCTAAATTTATTCCAACATTTTGATTGTATATCATAATAATGAAGCATTCTACATTGATGCAATTTAATAAAACTAAATCCAAAATGTTAATAACTGGTACTTAAGTTATGGATAATTCTGAATCTGCCACAATCTTTTTATAATTCGGGATACAGATGGTTCTCAAATTTCAAGAGAGACTCTTCTGTTTTATCATGTAAATTTCTTTCACAAGGATTTATTTTCATCATCATTCGTAATGTTGCTTAACTCTGATGAAGCATTTTTTTTCTTATTAAAAAGACACTAACCTGTATTGAATATCATGCTGAATTCCATAGTAGCACAGCTTATTATGTAGCTCACACACTTAATTGCCAATGTCGAAACTCAGACAAAAGCACAAGAAAACAGAAGCAAATGACAAAAATTGCATGCAGAGACCAGTGACATGTAAATTGTATATCAAAGTAATCAAATTAATATTACTAATTTGCAAGCTGATTGCCTTTGTCTAGGGGTGTGTTTGGCAAGCACCCCAAACCATGGTTTTGGGACCCAAACCATGGTTTGGGAAAAATGTTAGCCAAACACCCTTAAAAAAATCAAAACCATGGTTTGGGTTCAAAACCATGGTTTTGGGAAAAGCAGAAATTTTTTACTTTTGGAGAAAAAATGGAGAGCGTGAGAGCCTATAGGATATGTATCTTGTTGTTTTTTTTATAAACATATTTTTTATAAACATATTTAATCTTATATCTTATAAATATATATACATATTAATTATTTATTAATTATATTATCTTATATATTATTAATATATGTTAATAAAAAATATATTATTAACAATTTTATTCCTTCAAATTAAAATATATCATAAAATATATTTTTTCTATAATTATCATATTAATTTATGCCAATTTGTATATATAAAAAGTACTTCTAATAACAACTATCCAAACACTTACACTTCTCAAAATCACTTTTTCACAAAATCTATTCTTTCCAAAATCTATTTTTTTCAAAATCTATTCTCCAGAAACTATTCTCCAAACCATGGTTTGGTTTCATCCAAATAAACCCTAAATTCTGTAACCGTATTTAGCATGGACTTCTTTTCAAACTTGACATTCTTAGAGAGACTAAAAGTTAAACAGCATCAGGCAGTAAATTGCATTCTATGTAGGCTTTTTCCACATTTTTGGTAAGCGTTGGCATACCCTCAAAAACATGGAGCAGTTTCCACCGATTGAACTAGAAAGATTTTGACTGTAAGAAGGATATAGTTCAATTATGGAGCATGCTATGCATGTCGTCCTTAGCTGGCTTTGTATAGAGTGGGATGCTCAAACATCCAAAGAGCATCCTGAATAGGATTGAACCGGGATTGAAGGCCTCTTTTGCGTTCATGCTACTCTTCTTTGTGGGTTGTTGGCACTTGGGTCTTTATATCCCCTGTTTTCCACTAATTAACTTTCTACTTCATTTATTTTATATCCTCTGTTTTCCACTAATTAACTTTCTAATTCATTTATCATTAAATTCAGTTATAAATTCCAGCCAATCCAAGAGTGGAGGCACAACAATAAAAGCGTAGTGGTGCATTAGGATAACTTCTTCTGCAAACTCTGCAGTGTTTGCCGTTCATAAAAATGGGGACAGGTGGAAGAGCAAATGGCTAAAAAGTGTAACTATGAACCACAACCAGTGTGGCAGAGCCAACAATGCGAGCTGCCACTACCGTGATGCTATGATGCAGACAAAGAGGAGACACAGAATGAGCTTTCCAGAGTAACCAAGAGCAAAGTACAGCCATTAATGCAATATTAAACCACCAGGAGTAAGCAATTCACACCTTAGCTGCAACAAGTCCACTGATCTGGGCCATATCGCACATTAACACGGCTCCACATTTATCTGCAATATTCCTAAACCTGGCATAATCCCACTCTCGAGGATATGAGCTCCCACCACAAATAAGTATCTTAGGACGAAAATCAAGCGCCTTTTCCTCTAGTTTATCAAAATCTATATAACCCGTTTGAGGATTCACCTTATATGGAAAACTCTCAAAGAATATTGACGCCCCAGAAACTTTCTTCCCGTTCGGAGTACAGTACCCATGACTAGTGTTCCCGCCAGAAGGTGTATCCAACCCCATGATACGATCACCAGGCAACAACAATCCCGTGTATACAGCAAAGTTCGCAGAGGTGCATGAATAAGGTTGCACATTTACGCCCCAACTTTTAGGGTCCAGATTGAATGCTGCCAATGCGCGTTCACAACAGAGCATTTCAATCTCATCAATATATTGATTCCCTCCATAATATCGTGCACCCGCCATTCCCTCTGAATATTTATTCGTCAAATGGCTCCCCAGTGCTTCCATCACAGCTCGACACACAAAATTCTCCGAAGCTATCAATTCAATCCCTTTATACTGCCTTTCCTTCTCCTTCTCCATTATCTCATAAATATCAGGGTCCGCAGCTCGTAGAGTTTGATTACCCCATGATCGAACAGCCTCTCTCCGCGCCTCAACATTGGGGTCCAACGAACCCCACTTGGAAGAACTGGAAGACGACGATGATGATTCGCTATCTCTTCGCCTCTTCAAGCACATCGAATGCCCAAGGATACGAAACTCTTTTACCTCCCTATCTTCGTCTTCATCCGAATCTACCGCCGAGGTCCCATTCTCCGCTTTGTGATTATCCGCCAGCGGCTCCAACAACTGAAGTGGAACCGGAGGTACTGGCTGCGTGGGATCGCGGAAGCTTGAGTCGAGCTGAAGAGGGATGGAGTCGTCAGCTATCTGGGTCCGTTGAGATGGCGAAGCATGAGAAGAAAAGCCAAGGGACAAATTTGACTGAGGACGGGATATGTCCATCAAAAACCAAAACAAAACCGATCCGACGACAAAAATTATATGCACAAATAGTGAAATTCTTCTCTGATTGATGAAACAAAACTTATATGTACAAGTAAATGCGACGACAACCACAATATCTCCTAAGCACAACAGTAACAGCAACAGATACAACGACAAGGAGAGTTGAAGAAAGTGCAGTGACAGTGCTTGTAAATGGACTCGATGTAGCAACGAAACCGCATCATTGAAGATATAACACAAAGTGGGGGAACGAGGGGATCCAAACCCTAATCTTTGATGTTCAGTGGAAGAACATGGTGATGGAAGATATCATGAGATTGATGAAGAATGAAATGAAAATGAGCGCGAGGCTTTGTGCTTGGCGTGGGATTGACGAGGAATGCACCTGGACATTGCTGGTTTGTAATATTGGGGAACAGATCCTCTCAGCGGCCATTTTCTCCCCATCTCTTAGAATCTCCAATTCTTGACCGTCCATTTCATCCGAACGCTCACCAAGAGACACGTAATAAAGCATTCAAAATCACATCTAAGCCATTCGTCTTGTTATGATCCTGGCCGCTCATTCAATTTCATATTCTGCCAAATCCCTGTAGCTTTCTTTCACGAATACATTCCAGTTTCTCGGGAAGTTCCCTGCCCATCGGCGGTGCAAACAGGAGCTCTGTCGTCACCCATGGTCGGGCACTATGAGAGAATTTGTTGAGAGTAGCTTATTTGGTCTGGTATCTTCATTACAACTCTTCCTCCATATCTTTGCCGCAACTATTCCTCCATCCCTTGTTGAACTATGCTTTTTCTTGTTCTTCCTTTTCCCCTTTCCATTTGATTAATTTGAAGTTCTTGTTCGAATTTTTTTGGTTGGATCAATTAAATCCGGAGGATGAGCGATTACAGGGTGGAGATGATTAATGATGGCATGTAGGAGTTTTATGTGCATCTCCACGGGCCTGAAGACAGTAAATTTTTTCATCCCTCTCATTTACAATTTTTTTTTTTTAATTTCCGACTGATTATTTTCATATGCACCTTTAGTCGGAATGTATCTTTAGCAAGTTTGGTTTGGGAATAGCTTGCAAACTTCTGGAAATCTGCATTTTTCTTTTTGTTGCAACTATTACGTTCGGAAGTTTGTCTCGATCTTAAGATGAGCGAAGTTGTCACTTTTAGTTTAGATGGAAAAATTATGTTGGTGAATTATCCATTTTTCTTTTATCATTTTGGTGAAAGGAGATCTTCTGGTTTTGTTTGTATCTCTCTATACTCCCGCAGTCCCATGATTTCTCTGTTTTTCAACAAAATCAAATGAGATGTTATTCTGACCTTCTAGTTGAGTTGTTAGTTGGCGTATCATGATTTTCTCCAGTTTTCTATGTACAATCAGTTAGAGTCAATATATTGGCAGTGAATGTAATCTACAGATAACAATAATCATTCATCCACAACTTTGGCTTCCACAAATTTTGTGCACCTTCAATACCTTCTGTTCTGGTTTATGCAGCCATTTAAAGATATGATCGAAGAGACTAGGAATTGCAAGCCAGTTAACCAACATACTCAGAGATGTTGGAGAGGAGTGAGTCTGAAGTTTTTATTGCTTATTGCTTTTTTAAGTTCTTTTAAGAGTTGCAGAGTAAATCTTTATTTACACCATAGAGTGTTCCGCCATGAGAGCTTTTGTGATATTGTCACCGGACAAAGTTACATTACTATAGATAGATTGATTCCAAATAATAATGATTTACGCATCTCCTAAACAAATTAGGAGACCAAGTTTGCTGGAAAAGCTACCTTTGGAAATGACCAATGGAACAAAACATAACTTTCTCTTCCGTATTTAATGAAATAGAACTTGACACGTGTTGAGCTAGCTGTCATAATGGACAAAACAGAATTTGTTGTCCTATGAAAGAAAATACGAGTTGCTGTCATGTCGTACAAAATACAACTCGGTGGATTGAATGACTGAAGTGCTGGAATTTGAATTGTTATTGCAGGTGGTAGCTACATTATCTCTCATGTTGACTAAATATTGTTGAGGCTATAGAAGATGGACCTTCTGGACCTTCACCTGCTAGGAATTGATTAGACATTGTTGAAGTTGTTATTGAAGATGCACCTTCACCAAACAAGAGGGAAGAAATTAAAGAAGAGCAATGTAGATGTTAGTATGTGGTCATAAAAAAGTTGTAATGCAATATATTTCATACTCTTCCGGTCCTTAATATAGGACCCAATTGTTGAGTTGGTTTTGGTCGTAAATATAAAACCCATTTATCATATTTATCAATTTTCTCTAAAGTACCCCTGTGGATACTCCCTCAATCATAATCAAGTAGAAGAGGGAGATGAGGTATTAAGAAAGATGATTATGGTATTTTAAGAAAAATATGTCACATTTCTTATAATTAACTAACTTACCTAACTTCCTTAGTCTAATCAAATTAGTTAAATGGGTCTTATATTAAGGACCGGAGGAGTACAACAAAACTGTCTTGTGTATGTGTAGTTTGCTCTCGAGCAATGTTGCATGTAATGCTGTTACAGGCAAAGAGTTTGAAAAATATATGTAGTCTCTTTATTTGTTACTTTACAGGCATCTTATTGTTCTCAAATAGATTTTAACTCTATGAGTTATCATAAGCTGAACCTCTTTTGTTAAATCAGGCTGTACAATGCTATTTATTAGCAAGATAAATCTCATTCCATATTTATCGAGGAAGAAATTAAACAATCCTTGACTAATTTGCTCTGCTATCATGCTTTTAATTGAGCACTGCACATCTTCTCTCCATTTTCCAAAACAATCATGAAAGAGGTAGAAGATATCCAATAAAGTGCCAAATAACTTGATTCAATAAATATAGAAATATTCACGGGAAATAGAGTAAAGCAATGAAATAATGCTAATCCAGCCAAATAATTTCAACCCATCGACATAATTGAAATTTTGCAAACTTCGTTTAGAATATAGGTTCTTTGTAGGGGTGTTCACGGGACGGGACAAGGATCTTATCCTGTGTCCCGTCCCGTCCCGGTTCTCCTCTTTTTTAAAAGAAAAACTATAATTTTTTATATAAATTTTTTATGTTATAATGCTTATTTTTTATTAGGTTTCTAAAGATAAAAATATTATTAAAAAAAATATTACAAAAAGTTCAATTATACGATATAAAAAAAATGTAAAAACAATATCGTAAAAAAAAAAATTATATAATGACTTTATGAATTATTTTATTGAAAAAGGAGATTTTGTTGAGATAATACTATAATTTAAAAATTAAAAATCACTATAAAAATAAGAATTATTATTAATAAGTAAATTAAATTATTTAATAATAATTATTAATAAATAATTTTTAAAAGAAAAAAATTCGGGATGGACGGGAGTCCTGTCTTGGTTAATGTCCCGTCCCGTTTTTGTTCCGTCTCGAAATTTTTTTTATCCCATTCCGAATTCACCGAGACCGAGACGAGACAACCAGAACGAAACAAATTTAACACTCCTAGTTCTCCAATACAAAACCAGCATGGCTTATCATGGGGGGAAATAAATGAAGAATATAATAGTTCCATGAAATTATCATACGATGCAAACCAAAACGAAACTCAATGTGAAAATTAGAATAAAAATTATGCTTTAAAGAATCTTAGCACAATTGCTTAGCTTATACGCCCATAGCAGCATTGGTCATCTTAGATTTTAACAGTAGCATACAAAATATTCTAATTTAAATGCAATAACATTGCTAATTTTCTGGAAAGAACCTCTGCTTACTTGGGCATTCAAACTGTCAAGAATGAGGAAGAGAGAGATGGTAAAGAAGGGGAAAGATATGAAGAGGTGTAATGTAGATACCAGATAAACTACTTTCAGCAAAGCTATGGAGATTCTCTCATATTTTCCAACGATGGGTGACGGGACGACGGAGCTTCCTGTCTGCATTGCCTGGGGGTGGAACTTCGACAGAAAATGGCCCTCCAAACCCTGAAGGGATCTCGCAAAATATGCAATTAAAGGGGTGTTTGGATGAGGCAAAACCATGGTTTGCAGAATAGCTTCTGGAGAATAGATTTTCTGGAAAAGTGATTCTGATAAAGTGAGAGTGTTTGGATAATTATTGTCAGAAGTGCTTTTTGATATGTAGAAATTACTAAAAAGGACATAAGTTTAAATGATAATTACATATAATATATATTTCATAATATATGTTTATTTGAAGTAATAAATTTATTAATAATATATATTTTGACAACATAATAAATATGACATAAATAATATAAATAATAAAAAATTAGTGTGTGTATATATTAATAAAATAAATAAATATGTTTTTAAAAAAATGATTTATTTTGCCAAATAATTGTACCCCTGAGCTGAATGAGTACACCCCCCAGCGTGCTGAATGAGTCCTCCCCCCCCCCCCCGCATGCTTGTTCCCTCCGTAGCCAATAATTGTCCCTCTGCCTACTTATCTGAAACCAAGGTTTTGTTGGGCAAAACCTTGGTTTTAAAAAAAATGGGGGTGTTTGGCAAATTTTTTGCCAAACACCCCCTAAATGAACGACCAGATTATATGAAGATGGATGGTTCAGATGCGATTCTAAAAAGCTTCATGAGATGTCTTTATGCAGGCCGTCAGATCAACTGGACGGGTAGGATATTAAGCTTATGAGGGAAAAGGAGAAAATGGCCACTGAGAGGATTCGGATCCGTAATATTGTGACTGCTTGCTAGCCTGACGCAAACCGGCAAATGAATTGGCCAATGGCCATTGATGATTTTCTTTTTCTTATTCTTTGATTTGTGGCCCAAAAATTCATATATTTGACAATGTTTGGTCAAATGTGCCCTTTAATAATTGCCCATATTGATAATTAATAAGGATAGTTTGTTGGGAAAAAATTTAGTAAGGATAGTTTGAAAAAAAAAATTGATGATAAAAATAAATTTTCAATTTTTACATTTAAGATAAAAGAGAGTATAATTTAATATAATAATCACAATATTCTACCCTATCTAATATTAAATGTAGAAACTAAATAACTAGTTCATTATGAAAATTAATATTGGTCAAAAAATTAGTTAAATTAGTTATTTTTGTATAAGTATAAGTTAATTTTCTAATATTATCCTTCATTTTAATAATTTATATTGGAAACTAAACAATTTAACTAATTCATTTGAAATTCCACCAATCTATCAACATCTCCAAATTCATCATTTAGGTCCCATATGATACGAAATATTAAAAATAAGGGGTAAAGATTGTGATTAAGATTAAAAACATATTAAAAGAATATTTAACATGAGAGATTACTTGTTATATAGTATCAAACCAGCCCATGTAGACAGTGGTATTTTCCAATTTCATCTTAATGGGTTTGTCTAATCTCATGTAACAAACAATTATTCATACTAAATATTTTTTTAATAGTTTTTCATAAACTCAATTTCGATCCTTACCTCTCATTCTCGATATTTCTTACCAAACAGAACCTTAGGATTTGACTCAAACATACCTGGTATGTGAATCATGATGATCTTCAAGACCTATTGATCTTCAATCAGTCTAATTCATACTCAATTAGTAGAATCATTGTATCTCATGTAAACTCCCATTTTTCATCAAATCCTTCTCAAAATCGTTCAAACCACCCGATAGGGTGAAACTAAACTAATTAAACAGTTAGATAACTTCCATTAGGACATTTTAATTCATTTTCAGTCGGTAAAGACTCTTCCAAATTCAAAATCCTAACATACCAATCTCCAAGACCCCAACAACTTATGGTCAAGATGGTAGAAATCGTGATTGAAACGCATAAGTGATTTGATGCTTGAAAATGCTTCCGAATGTGTAAAATTATCAAATCCCAATGGAGTCCCAATTACTTCACCTCCGTACTAAAGTTCTTTCTTTCCTTTTGATTTTCGTGATAGGAACCCATTTAAACTGAACAAAGCAAACAACATAGAGGAACTATGTCCTTCAATAGACATAGGCCTTTTTTGCACAAAAGCTATAATTTCTCCCCCAAATTCCACATCCTATGATGCTTTTTTCTCACTCGTTTATAACTTTAAATGGCTTTTCTAAACCCTAGTCTATTCAATGATATAATATTGTAATATCATTAAGTCATATGAATTAAAAAATAGGATATCACAAGACAAACTACTAATTGGACTTTATAATACTCAAATCTGATCCAATAATACTATATATCAGATAATCATATAAAAAAATGATTTTTGTATTGGTAACAAATGAAGAAAAAATCCATCTATGACTATATATATAATACAAAAACTATATTACAGATCATACTTTTTCATGAATCATGAATATTGAATAATGTGGTTCTTTCTCATTTGATGCACAAGCACGAAAGATGAGAGACAATGAATCATCCTTATGAAGAGGATTTGCACAATTTTCCATAGCAAAGGACAAAACTTTATTTGAATTGGCACACGCTATTACAACATGGACAAGGCTTGGACAATGCATTTGATATCTCACATGGTATTGGATTGAAGATGATTATTGTTTGGACTTGAAGAGGGGAAGCTAACAAGCGGTTTGGCTCCTACTCAAAGAAAATAACTACACAATGCAAACCAAAACATGATGGAGACTAGTGAGGGAAATGGCATGGAATGTAACTATAAAACCAAAGCAAGAAGCCAAAGCGGTTTGGCAAAAAATGGCAAACCATCTCTCTTTTCAATGTGTTCTGTAGGAGAGCTGAAAGGGTTCCCTTTTTGACTTTTTGTTTTAAATACAACTATCTGAATGCATTCTCTGTAATGGTGACATAACATAATAGAAATTAGAAAACCAAAGGGGCTCACATGATTTAGTTTGCACACACTCAATTTTTTTCCCAATATCTTTCCCAGAACAGCATGTACAGTGAAAAATTATTTCCAAGCCTATTAACAAATTCTCACAACTACTTTAATAAGAAACAGCGGAAAACACACAAAAAACTAGTTAGCTACTGAAAGGTTTGGACCAAAATTTTTAAAGAGAATGATTCTATGCTCTACAATGGAAATATCCACAATGACAAATCTTGACAAGCTAAAGTATTGATGCACGGTTAGCTTCTCTTAATACAAGGTGAAAAATAACAATTTACTTATAATCTGGTCGTAAGTATAAAATATGGGTCTTACATTTAGGATCAGAAAAGTAGGAAATTGTGCAAAATATCTAAAAGCAATACAAACAAGTAATAATTCACACAAGTTGAAGGATAAAAAAATCCAGATCAATTCACTCACTGTTATTACAAGGACAAGGGATAGACACTACATTCCATATCTCGTGTAATGTGAAGCTAAGAAACGGTTTGGCTGTTATAGAAGAAAATAACTATACATTATGAACCCAAGCATACAAAGAAAATAACTACTCATTATGACCAAACATGGTTATCACGCATGAGTAAGTGGAAATAAAGCCCGGACCAATATGAGCCGCGTATAATTTTGTTACATTTGGCTTAGTACAACTAATTAATAGGACATGTGCCTAAATTTAGGTCTTGTTTGATAAGAAGTATTAAAAATAAGGGATAAGGATTAGGATTGAAATTAAAAAAATTAATTTTAAGAGTATTTAGTATGAAAGATTATTTGTTATTTAGGATTAGGCAAACAGGTGGTATTCTTTAATCCTACCTACCTGAGTTTGTCTAATCCTATATAATGAGTAATCCCTCACACTAAACATTTTTTAATGATTTTTTTCAATCTCAATCCTTACCTTTTATTCTCAATGTTTCATACCAAATGGAACCTTAAGATCCCGTTTGGTAGGAAATATTGAAAATTACAAATAGAAACGGTGCCTAGATGAAGGCACCTACTCAACAGGGGCGTCCTAGGCAGCCTGCCAAGAGAATCTCTGACAACCAGCCCCCCCAAGATGCAACAGCTGCCAACAGGTTTGACCTTCTCGCATCTGCTGAAGACATAATGGAGCGAGAACAAGGAAATCTTCTTGCAAAACCCCATGGAGTGGAGTTAGAGGTCTGCACATCTGACAAGGAGCAAAGTACCGGGGTGTATATCACTCGTGCTAAACCAACATTCCCAAGATGAAGAAGCCTATGAAAACTACTAGCCCCAGGAAAGCCACACCACCAGAGCAACACAATGGATCAATCTTTGATTCTCCCGCCTATAAAGCTTTCAAAGTACCCACTATACTGGACTCTGACAAACACACGACCATCTCCTTTGTGGACCCCAAAGAAGCACTGAAATCATCCGACCGCCTATCCACCAAACAACCCAAGCCCAACTCCCACAAGGCCCAACAAACCACCGCTACAGGGAAGGAAAATGCCATTCCTAAGCCCCCGAACTTAAGCCCAGCAAAAGGGGGCTTTAAAGTTCAACAAAATGTTAAAATCAGGGCTTTAAACTCTAAAGTGAGCAATGACGCTGGGTCCCCCTCGGAGGAGCTCACCAAAGCACTAGCAGAGGCACTTGGGGCCTCTATTCGGTCAGATGATGATGTGGCTTTCCAGGAAGCTTCGGGTTCAGGCCTTGATGATGAAGCCGCCTTTGATAGGTCCGATATGGACCATTAACTATCCCTTCCCATGGTTGGATCGATCTTTGTTTGGAACTGCTAAGGTGCAGCCTCCCAGAAATTCTGTTGCATTCTTAAATCTCTACTAAAAGGCTATAAACTAGATTTGATGGCTTTAGTAGATCCTAGGAACCTAAAGCTGAGAATGTGCTCAAAAAGATAGGCTATCCAAATTCACATTGAGTGGAAGCTTAGGGGTTTTCAGGAGGAATTTGGCTTATTTGGTCGGATCAAATATCAGTAAAGGTAGTTTTAAATCACAAGCAATTTATTCATTGTCACGTCAGTAATCAGGATGGGAATAATCACTTTCTCTTCTCCGCCATCTATGGGATCCCGAACCCTACCATCCATGGTGAGCTGTGGCAGGATCTTTTGAAACTTCAAATCACTTCGGATAAGGCTTGGTTAATGGCAAGCGATTTTAATGCCACTACTTCAATTGGCAAACATAGAGGTGGGGCTCGTAGCTCCACGCAGGGGCGTAAGATCTTTAGAGATTTCATAAAGCAGGCTGGATTATTGGACCTGGGATTCATCGGCCCAAAATTTACCTGGCAACACGGTAGGCTTATGGTGCGTCTTGACAGAGATCTTAGTAACAGGAAATGGCTTGAAATGCACTCCTCAGCCCAAGTCATGCACCTCCCAAAAATACAAGTGATCACCGTCCAATCCTCATTAAACCCATTGAAGTGTATCTGCAACAACGTAGACCTTTCCGTTTCTTGGCACCGTGGATACTCCACTTGGACTTTCCAAGTCTGGTCAAAAAGCACTGGACCAGGGGGCAGGACTGGTAGAATGCATCAACTCCTTCATCCAAGAAGCTCAATATTGGAACACAACAGTATTCAGAGAAATAGGGAAGACTAAAAGGTGCATTAGATCCCATTTATCTAGCATTCGACGCTCACTCGAAGAGTCCCCTTTCTCTTTGCATCTCCTCAATCTAGAACGCAAACTTCTAGTGGAGTATGAAGACATTTGCCTCAGTGAGGAACTTCTCTGGCTTCAAAATTCGAGAAACCAATGGATCAATGATGGGGATCGCAACACAAAATTCTACCATACCAAAGCACTCATTTGTCGAAGACGCAATAGAGTTTTGATGCTGAAAACAAATGAAAATCTCTGGGAGGCCAACCAGACCAAGCTGAGGACTATGGTAGTGGACTGCTTTAAAAATCTTTATACGCCCGATCAGAACTCTAACATGTTCGGTTTAGGTGAAGGTATGTTTTCTCCTCTTCCTGATTCCATGCTGAATATGTTGGACTGCCCGATAACAAAGGAGGAAACAAAACAAGCTTTGTTCAATATGGCCCCCCTGAAATCTCCTGGCGCTGACGGGCTCCATGCACTCTTTTTTCAATCCCAATGGGACATTACTGGGGAAACAGTTTTTAACGAAATTCGACGCATTTTTGAGGGAGGTAGAACTGATCCCACTCTCAATCGCACCCTGATTGCCCTGATCCCAAAAACAGAAAATGCCCAGACTCTTAAAGATTTTCAACCCATTAGCTTGTGCACAACCTTCTATAAAATCCTTACCAAAATCATCTCAAAAAGGCTACAAAGCATCATGCCTTTGCTAACCTTGCCTTACCAATCGAGTTTCATAAAGGGCAGAAGCATAATCGATAACATCATAATAGCTCAGGAAGCAATACATTCTATGAGGAGAAAGTCTGGGAAATCTGGATGGATGGCTATCAAAGTAGACCTCGAAAAAGCATTTGACAGGCCAAGCTGGGACTTTGTCCAGGACACTCTTGTAGCCGCGAAAATACCTTGCAACATAATCCAGATTATCATGGATTGTATCACTTCAGTAAGCATGCAGGTCCTTTGGAATGGTTGCCCTACTGACTCCTTCTACCCTCAGAGAGGAATTAGGCAAGGGGATCCCCTCTCCCCATACCTTTCTGTGCTATGCATAGAACGCTTTTCCCAAGCCATACAGCATTCGGTCTCGTCAGGTGCCTGGAAGCCCATCAAGTTATGTCATAATGGCCCATCCTTATCCCATCTGTTTTTCGCATATGATCTTATCCTATCTACCTCGATCTTCCCTTCCCAAGTGCGGGTAATTCAACAAGTGTTATCAATGTTTTGTCTGTCTTCGGGTCAAAAGGTTAGCGAAGCTAAAACGAAAGTCTTTTTCTCTACAAATGTGGATCGACAGCAGGCGAGAGCCATTTGTACTCAGCTGGGCTTTAATCAAACATATAACCTTGGGAGATACCTAGGGGTCCCAATTATCTACAAAAGGGTCACTAAGGAAGCTTATCATTACATTGTGGAATGAATTAAGAAAAAATTGACTGGTTGGAAAGCTTGCACTCTCTCTCTCGTGTAGGGAGAATAACACTTGCTCAATCGGTACTCTCAACCATACCCCTATATACCATACAAACGACCCAAATCCTAGCTGCAACGTGCAACAGGATTCACTCTCTTATCCAGAACTTCATATGGGGTTCTACAGACACCAATAAGGGGGTACACTTAATGAAATGGGAAAATATCTGCCAGCCCAAGGAGTGTGGAGGATGCGGCATAAAGAACCTTAAGGGCCAGAACTATGCTTTTCTCCTGAAAATTTGCCATGCTATTCTAAAACAACCAACCGCTTACTGGGTACAAATCTTAAGGACAAAGTATAGATGGAAAGATGCACACTTTCCAAAGCAAAAACCCGTAATGTTTCTCATTTATGGAGGCATCTAGCTCCACTATGGAATGACCTTGACCTTAACCTCATATGGGACACTGGAAGGGGCAACAGCGCGAGATTTTGGTCCAACCACTGGGTGGGAGAACTTGGTCCTTTACATCATCTAGCTTTCAAGCCACTAAGCAATGAGGAGCTCCAGGAAACTCTCGACAAGTTTGTAACTTATGAAGGTTTGTGGGATTGGGACAAGTTCACGGATTACTTAACTACTGACACTCTGTCCCAAATTGCGAGTATTACCCCGCTGGCAAACTCGAACACCCCAGCACAGCAACACTAGCGTATGACGAAAGACAAGAAGTTCACTGTCCATTCGGCTTATCAATCTCTCATGGAACCCGAATGGAATGACAGGAGCAACATTTGGAACTTAGCATGGAAATGGCCGGGAGCGCAAAGAATTCGAACCTTTCTATGGTTGACACTAAGTAACAAATTGCTCACAAATTCTATAAGACTTAAGAGAGGAATGTCAGCGAGCGACAGAAGTGAAATTTGTGATAACGGAGTAGAAGACCTTGATCATGTCCTCAGGAAATGCAAACTTGCCTCATCTTGCTGGCAGTTCATCATGCCTTCTGCGCATCAATTCCATTTCTTCAACTACCCTTTTGATGCTTGGTTAAGTGAGAACCTGTGACCCTGTGAGCAGAACCACCACTGGTGAATTATCTTCGGTATCCTCTGTTGGAAACTGTGGAATGCAAGGAATCGTCATATTTTTAATCATGAAGCCATGCATGCCCTTAGTCTGGTTAACGAAGTCTCCACGATGGCTGACTACACTATTCGGGCTAATGAGTTTCATAAGTCTTGTCTTTTAACTTAATGTAGCTTGCTGTTGGTTTTGTTTTGTTTTTCCTCATGTCTTGTTTTCGCTTGTTTATGCCGTGAATAAAGTTTGCTTTTTACTCAAAAAAATTAGGAATAGGAATTGGAATTGAGAAAATCTATTAAAAGAGTGTTTAGTGTAAGAGATTGTTTGTTATATGGGATTAAGTAAACTTATAAAGGTGGGATTGGGGAATATATGGGTTTGGCTAATCCCATATAACAAACAATCTCTTACACTAAACACTCTTTTAATAGATTTTCTCAATCCCGATCTCAATCTCTGTTTCTAATTTTTAATGCTTCTTACCAAACGGGATCTTAATACCTAACAGTGTATCTAACATGAACTCTTACGCCTGTGCTTAGTAAAAACCAACAAAAGAAAAAAGGACACGAGCTAAGGCCGTGCTCCGTAAACCATCTTTCGCAGCAGCAAGCTGTTTTGCATTATTAGGATATAAACTCATTCATATGGCACCAGTCTAAGACATAGGGGGTGTTTGGATAGCATTTTGTGCAAACCATGGTTTGGGCTTCCAAACCATGGTTTGCAAGTGCATCCAAACGGTGCCTTAGGGTGTGTTTGGATGAAACCAAACCGTGGTTTGGAAAAGTGATTCTGGAGAATAGATTCTGGGGAGAATAGATTATGTGAAGAATAGATTTTGTAAAAAAAGTGATTCTGAGAAGTGAGAGTGTTTGGATAGTTGTTATCAGAAGCACTTTTTATATATACAAATTACTAAAAAAAAGACATAAGTTAATATGATAATTACAGAAAAAATAGATTTTATGATATATTTTAATTTGAAGGAATAAAATTGTTAATAATATATTTTTTACCAACATAATTAATAATACATAAGATAATATAATTAATAAATAATTAATGTGTATATATATTTATAAAATATAAGACTAAATATGTTTATCAAAAAATATGTTTATAAAAAAAATAACAAGATACATATCATATAGGCTCTCACACTCTCCCTTTTTTCTCCAAAAGCAAAAAAAATTGGCTTTTTCGAAAACCATGGTTTTGGAGTCAAAACCATGGTTTTGGTTTTTAGAGGGGGTGTTTGGGTGATTGACACCCCAAACCATGGTTTGGGTCCCCAAACCATGGTTTGGGGTGTCACCCAAACACACCCATAGTCCATTGGAAAGAACCTTTGTGATGATTGGGCCTGAACATGACCCAATAAACTTAGGCCCATATAAAAATGGGTCCACTTAGGCCCAAAAGTATTTTTCATTGATTTTGCTCATTCAACTTTAAGAAGTAACCAAGTTTCTCCACCTTGTTAGGATTTGGTAAAAGAGAGTAATCCCTAGCAACGTAATAAACTAAAGTTTGGTGTTTATATTTAATATCTAACATTATTTCAAAAAAAAGTGCCTCCAATAAAAAGATATCTATGTGTAGCCAAAAAAAAAAATTTAAGAAATAAATAACAAGGCTAGATCTATTAGAAAAAGTTAGTTCTGCACAACATGACAAATCAATTCCAAATCTCCGCTATAAGATATATTCATATTTAATGTCCAATAATACTTTGAACACAATTGTTTTCAATAATAAGATACCTATGCCTAACAAAAAATCTTAAAAAACATGTGCCAACAGGATTAAGTCTAGCAAAAAGAACTAATTCCTCATAACGTGACAAATTAATGTTGGAACTCTCTTTTATTAACAAGAAGATACTTGTGCCTTAAAAAAAAAATTTAAGAATTATGTGGAACGGTGGGTACAAATCAATTTGTGCATCAACGGAGAGTAAATTTTTTTTTCTTATCGGGTGATTTCAAAGGCACCTCCATTGGTTTAGAGCATTCAAAAATAAATAAATTTATTAAATAATTATCACAAAGTTCAAAACTAGTTACTCATCATACGAATTTGATAACTTTGAAGCTTAAAAATATTAAATCTAATATTGTCAACGTATTTAAAATCTTTATCCGGACCTGATAGAAAAATTGGTTTATTGGTCAGACTAACCAACCCGAGTTGGGTTTTGTCTTGCTAGCATAACTTAGATTACTAGAACCTCTTAATTGGAAAAAAATGCAATGTGAATTGTGCTTTCCCGATTAAAAGACTCAGAAGCTCCTAAACAATTCCCTTTCCAAAAAAATAAATAGGTATCGTTAATTGACTAATTAGCCCTTATTCTTAATTAAATTACACTCTTCAATATTAAATGTTTGCGCGAGTCACGCAATTTAATTAATGTTTTAATTTGATGATTATATTTCAAAATAATAATGCATCTAACTTGCGTACACGCCTCTAGCTGAGGCCTTGCCTTTCAATGGCGTAAAAGAATATAATAATAACAAGCTTCTGGGAAAACAACGGCACATTAAGTCATGTAACCAAAAAAAGGAATTAAAAAAAAAATGGAAGCGGAAACAACTGTGTCCTCCTAATTTTTATTTAAAAAATTTTCATATTTCTTTAAATGTTTTTAAAAAGCATTGTTTGAATTTCTAATTTTTTAAAATGATATATTTTTATTCCCAAAATTTATATACATTGTCAGTCAAAATAAATAATATATTGCATATCTCTCTCAAAATTAAGTTAAAATTGCACGTATTTCCATTATTACTTTTAAATAACATCTCTGTTTTTAGAAATAAAAAGGGGCTTGTTGTAATTTGATAATTTCAACATAATTCAATGGATACATGATTAATTTAGTTTTCATTCCAGCAAAGGTTTCCATATTTTTTAAAGAAACAAAAGGCATTTATATAATTTCAGTAAAATCCAAAGAAAATTCAGTTCGATTATTTAGATATAAAAGAGATTGTTATACATTGTAAATGAAATTAAGAATAGACATACGTAACTTAATTTTAAAGTTATTCTAAAACTCAAAAGACTAAAAGTTTAAATTTAATGGAAAATCAATATTCAAGACGAGAAATGAAAACTTTGTAATCCCAAAGATCATTTTGTTTAAATGCTTTAATTTAGAAAATTCTTCTTCAAGTGAAATTTTCTTTTTTATTTAATATTCCTTCACCGTTTTCCGGATAAAACGGTATGAACAATTTTAGTAGTGACTTCCCATGTTGGAATAACTTAACGTTCAAGATTAATTGCATCTGATCCTAATAATAATACTATGCTTGTGATTGAAATATTGGTTTTTTCACAAAAAGATTCTCTTTTTTTATGGCGAAAAAAGGACATAAAGTCTATTCCTTGAAAATAAATTGTGGGAAGGTTGGAATAAACTCAAAGTGCTTTGCTTCTCACAAGCCCAACCTTAAGGTTCAAAATGCAAAGTTTAGACTTTAAATCCTTTCAGAACTAACCAATGATGCAAAATTAACATAAAGTTACAGACATTGTTTTTAAATTTTTTGTAAACAGAGTTGACCTCTTAGAAAAAGTTCTTTCGAAAGAAATTGATTCTGGCCATATGCAAATAAAATGCTACTCCCTCCTACCCTTAGTATAAGAGGGGCTAGAATTTAGATTTTATCTTAGATATACTTTCTTAATTTCTTTTTTCCCTTGTATTTATTATTTTTTAAAATGAATTTAACTATATAATCTAATTTTTTTAATTTAATGCAATTTAAATACACACGTACACACAAACATGTTAACGCCAAATTCAAATCCAAGACTTTGTCCAAACATAATAGGTGGCATTACTGCTAAAGCAACTAACCATTGACAATATGATGTTATACGATCTTCTATTCTTAAT